GCTTGCGGCTGTTCATGGTGTTGGTACGGTCGATCTGAAGTTTACTTCGGGAAAGACCGTGCAGCTGAAGAACGTGCAGCATGTCCCTTCAATAAAGAAGAATCTAGTTAGCGGCTCTCTATTGTGTAGAGAAGGTTTTAGACTTGTGTTTGAGTCCAATAAATGTGTCGTATCTAAATATGGGACTTTTGTTGGAAAAGGTTATGACAGCGGAGGCTTGTTCCGCTTTTCTTTGAATGACATGTGTAATAATCATAATGCTGTGAACCATATTAGCGAGAATGATGAGTCTAATGTGTGGCATTCGCGACTCTGTCATGTGAATTTCGGTTGTATGACGCGCTTAGCTAACATGAGTTTAATTCCAAAATTTACTTTGGTCAAAGGTTCCAAGTGCCATACTTGTGTTCAATCGAAACAACCTCGCAAGCCTCACAAGGCATCTGAGGCGAGGAATTTGGCACCTCTAGAACTTGTTCATTCCGATTTGTGCGAAATGAACGGCGTGTTGACTAATGGGGGAAAGAAATATTTCATGACACTGATAGATGATTGCACTAGATTTTGCTATGTGTATCTATTGAAAACAAAGGATGAGGCATTGCATTACTTTAAAATCTATAAAGCTGAGGTAGAAAACCAACTTGAAAGGAAAATCAAACGGTTGAGGTCTGATAGAGGTGGGGAGTATTTTTCCAATGAGTTTGCATCCTTTTGCGAAGAGTTTGGAATTATTCATGAGATGACGCCTCCCTATTCACCCCAATCAAATGGGGTGGCCGAAAGAAAGAACCGTACTCTAACTGAGATGGTGAATGCCATGTTAGATACTGCGGGGCTTTCCAAGGAATGGTGGGGTGAGGCAGTTTTGACTGCGTGTCATGTCCTGAATAAAATTCCAATGAAGCATAAGGAAGTAACACCATTCGAGGAATGGGAAAGGAAGAAATTAAATCTCTCATACCTACGAACATGGGGCTGTTTGGCCAAGGTAAATGTACCTATAGCCAAAAAGCGGAAACTTGGACCAAAAACTGTTGATTGTGTGTTTCTTGGTTATGCTATCCACAGTGTGGGTTATAGATTCTTAATAGTAAACTCTGGAGTACCCGACATGCATGCTGGTACAATTCTTGAGTCCAGAGATGCTACATTCTTTGAGAATGAATTTCCTATGAAATATACACCTAGCACTTCTAGTAAAGAAACTGTCATGCCCCATGAGCACTTTGCACCGATAGAACACGATGATCAAATGCCTGAGGAAAATCCTGAGGAGGACAACATTGTAGATACTCGCAAGAGTAAGAGACAAAGGGTTGCAAAATCCTTTGGAGATGACTACATTGTATACCTCGTGGATGACACCCCAAGAACCATAGAAGAGGCATATTCATCTCCTGACGCTGACTACTGGAAGGAAGCAGTACGCAGTGAAATGGACTCGATTATGTCTAATGGTACTTGGGAAGTCGTTGAGCGTCCATATGGGTGCAAGCCTGTAGGATGCAAATGGGTTTTCAAGAAAAAACTTAGGCCTGATGGTACAATCGAAAAGTACAAGGCAAGGCTTGTAGCCAAGGGTTATACCCAAAAGGAAGGCGAGGACTTCTTCGACACATACTCACCAGTTGCTCGCTTGACCACGATTCGAGTACTACTTGCTCTGGCAGCCTCTCATGGTCTTCTCGTCCATCAGATGGATGTTAAAATAGCTTTCCTAAACGGAGAGCTGGAGGAGGAGATCTATATGGATCAACCAGATGGGTATGTACTAGAAGGTCAGGAGGGAATGGTGTGTAAACTATTGAAATCCTTGTATGGCCTCAAGCAAGCACCTAAGCAATGGCATGAGAAGTTTGACACCACGCTTACATCTGCAGGCTTTGTTGTGAACGAAGCTGACAAATGTGTATACTATCGCTATGGTGGGGGAGAAGGGGTGATCTTGTGCTTATATGTCGATGACATACTGATCTTTGGGACCAGCCTTAATGTGATTGAGGAGGTCAAAGACTATCTGTCCAAGAGTTTTGAAATGAAGGATTTGGGAGAGGCTGATGTTATTCTTAACATCAACCTACAAAGAGGAGATGAGGGTGGGATTACACTTGTGCAATCCCACTATGTGGACAAGGTTTTGAGTCGCTTTGGATATAGTGACTGCAAGCCAGCTCCTACTCCTTATGATCCCAGCGTGCTATTAAGGAAAAACCGAAGAATAGCAAGGGATCAACTGAGATACTCTCAAATCATTGGTTCATTGATGTACTTGGCTAGCGCAACGAGGCCTGACATCTCATTTGCTGTAAGCAAGCTGAGCCGGTTTGTCTCAAATCCGGGAGATGATCAGTGGCAGGCTCTGGAAAGAGTAATGCGCTATCTAAAGGGCACTATGAGCTATGGAATTCACTATACCGGGTATCCAAAAGTACTAGAAGGGTATAGTGACTCAAACTGGATATCTGATGCTGATGAGATAAAAGCCACAAGTGGATATGCGTTCACACTTGGAGGTGGCGCTGTTTCCTGGAAGTCTTGCAAGCAGACCATCTTAACGAGGTCAACAATGGAAGCAGAACTTACAGCACTAGATACTGCGACAGTTGAGGCCGAGTGGCTTCGTGAACTTCTGATGGATTTGCCGGTGGTTGAAAAACCAGTGCCAGCTATCCTAATGAACTGCGATAATCAAACAGTGATTATTAAAGTGAACAGTTCAAAGGACAACATGAAGTCATCTAGACACATCAAGAGAAGACTGAAATCTGTCAGAAAGCAGAAAAACTCCGGAGTGATAGCATTGGACTATGTCCAAACGGCTAGAAATCTGGCAGATCAGTTTACCAAGGGGCTACCACGTAATGTGATAGACAGTGCATCGAGGGAAATGGGCTTGATACCCACCTAAGGTTGCATAATAGTGGAAACCTGTCCATTGTGATCGGAGATCCCGTGAATTTGGATGGTGAAACAAACTATTGTGTGACTGAGAGAAGAGACCCTTGAAAAGGGCTCATTTTCATGATGTGCTTCTCTTCTTTCCTGCATGGTAGGATGGCTTATGTCTTAATGTGATCCGAGTGGCTTTTCCAAGCAGAGATGTTGACCTGCAGAACATCTCAGAAGGAACACACCTATATGAGTTCGACTGCTAGTCACAGTCTATAAGGTTTGGGCAATCTCTAGATACTCATGAAAGGCCTGGAGTTTGACTTATATGCTCTAAACAGAGGGGATGCGAACGGCAGCCCAGTACCAGTCAAGGTTCTGAGTGAAACTTGATCACACAAAACTTGCAATTCAAGGCATAGTCCATTGTCCAGTTGTGGTCTGATGTAGCTCATTTCCTAGGTGGAAGTTCAACTTAACAGTCTCCACCAAAACCCTGGTATATCAAACAGGCACAACATTGGGAACATTTCTTATGAGCCTTGAAATTTGGTGGGGATTGTTAGAATAATTGGGCTAGGCCCAATTTATTATATTAAATCTTAAAGGCCCATAATAAATGTTGAGGATAATAATACCACCTCAGGATTTAAGGGAGAAATATCTCAACCTAAATAGGGAGTTATTAGAGGCTCCCTGTTGACCAGTTGAGGTGGGGGTCGGAATGCCACACGCGCGCGCGCGCGCCGGGTCGGGCCGTGGGCGAGGCGAGGCGTGGCGTGGCGTGGCTGGCTGGCTAGCGTGCGTGCGTCACGTCACGTCACGTCGCTATCCTTTTGTAGCCACTAACCCACGTTCCCACGATTCCCTCCGCAACAGCGCGTCCACGTTCTTTCTCCTGATAGATAAGGAGGCCGCGAGTCCGATCCAACTTCTACGCTTCCTTCCCGGTGTTAGTTTCTCCTTCTCCGCGCCTGAGTTGCTCTCGCTTCCCCGCTTCTGATCTCTTGCGCGCACGAGAGATTGGAAGGAGTAGTGCCTCCGAAACCACACCTTCGCCTGAGATCTGCACCGGGTAGGCGGGTGATCAGGTTTTTGGGGAGTGCCTCCCGCACGACTGCTCATCGCCATGTCTGGAGTTGCTGCCGCCACTGCTGGCGGAGGTGGTACGCCGCCGCCGACAGGAGCTGGATCTGGATCCGGATCCGGAGCTGGTGCGCCAGGAGGAGGTGCCGTGAACGACTACAACAACGGAGGCAATTCTGCCTCACCATCCAGCGGAGGGCCATTCTCGGGGTATAATCTTCTCCTCCTGCTACTGCTGTTAGCGCTATTCCTGTTCCCATTGTTAGCGCTATACTATGTGCGCTATATTCTTGTTCCTGTTCTTGTTCCTGTTCTACATGATGCCTCTAGCATGTTATCGTGTTACTGGTATGTTCCTGTTCTTGACATTCATGATGCGCATAGTATGCTACTGGTTATGTTAAGATCACCCTACACTGCTTATGCCATGATCATTGTTTCATTTTCTTGGATTAAAATATGCCGATTAATGACTATATTTCCAACAGTTTAGAGATCGGGATGACACAGTCGAACAAGTTTGAGAACCTAAACGGTCGATTTGCGAGTTTAGGGACCGGAATGACACAACGGTACAAGTTTAGAGACCGGTGATGTACTTTTCTTAATTTTTAAATAAGACGAACGGTCGAACTTTGAGCACAAGAACCCACAACTACACTGGAACGGAGAGAGTACTTCTGAATGCAAACCATGTCTTTGTCATACACTCGTACTTATGTGTTATTGCCTCTTCTTGTCAAACAGGGAAGCATATTCACAGACGACGATCACACAAAAGATCAGCCAAAATTTGTGAACTGAATGATAAAATTTAACCAAGACATTCAGCTTTAAAATGACCTGACCATTTACCATTTACTATTTTGGGTATGTTCAGATTGTAGCCAAAATAAACCTTACCAAATTTTGGTATTACCGAAATTTTAGCAAATTGGCAATATTATCAAAATTTTTACAGAATTTCTTATGTATTTACCAAAGTTTGACAACAAACTAAACGTAGGCACTTTTTTGATAACTTTACCAAAAAAAAATGGTATGGTTGAAAATAAGATCAATCTGAGTAGCCACTTTATATACAACATGCCCCGATACCAGAGCGCTCGACAGAGAGCTTCCAGACAGAAAGACCGACCAACAAGGTAGACAGAAAACTTGCACAACAACAGTTCAACACAACATTACCCATTTCCCAACTGTTCAGCTCAAAAAAAAAAAGCTTACCAACTGTTACCCTGAGGTGGTGCATACAGTGAAATTCCAATCAAAAATATGTGCAACGTGTGCAATGAACCCATGTTTCCTAGGTTCCATCCACCACAAACAAGTGGATATATACTTGGTGAAGAGAGACGTGGACACCAGGCAGGCAGAGCCTCTCCCTGCCTGAAATTTGCTTTAGGACATTCTTGTCTAGACTGGTGTTGAAGTATCGACAACTCAGCTTCGAACTGCATGATCACTTGCAACGCAGATTGAGTACCTTCGCGACCGTTTTCAAGAGTGGGTTTATGAAAGCCTCAGAGCCATTTCTTGGAGGAGGGCCCTCTTCTGAGATGCAGTGATTAGGTGACTAGATTCAGCATTTTCAAGCACATCAGTGACGATTGCAGCAGCATGACCGAGAGACTCCTCAATTGTTCTCCTCAACATAAAAGCCTGAAATACATGAAAAATCCCGAGTACGGAAGTTGAGAGTTAAAACCAGTGTGCTAGTAACCATGGCCCCAAAATACAGATTACATGAGACCAAACGCACAACAAGAACGAACTAAACCTGTCCATGATGGGATATTTTGAGAGTGCAGGGGTTTTGGGTCCATGGTTCGCCATCCACTTGAACTGGAAATGGAGCGAAAATTTGTATTTTGATTGATTGTCCTTGAGCAATCCTCCGTGCCCGAGAAAGCCCAACCTAAATTAGTTCAGTTTATCTAGCATCATCTTCATTCATCAGATCAAAGATTAATTGTTGAATGTGCTTGTTTACCTGAAGTGTCCCCAGATGCCAAGTTCCGGAGATGCTAACTACTTCAACCATCTTGTCATGAATTGACTGTGGGTCAAAGTTGTCAGGGTTATCATCCTCGCTTTTCCACAAATCAACCCCTCCCATGTAGCTCGGAATGTTTGCAACCAGAACACCTTCTGAATCCTGAAGCATTCATACGTATTAGCAATTTAGCATGGGCATGCCATATAGTATAGATGGTGGTTTTATGTACAAGTCTCAAGATCATCTTATGTAACCTCTGGAATCTCAATCTCAGTTCCATCAACCTCTAATCTAACTTGCCAGGGTAAGTCCACAAAAGTTCTATCGATCATACTCTTTGCACCTTCCCTTGCATATAGCACCTTATTTAAAAACTGAGCAGAAAAAAATAAAGTAAGAAACAAAGTAGGATAAATCTCGCAATAAGAACTGAAAAACAACACGGTTGATACAGCAATGAGATTTTTGTTGGTCATGTATCAGTCTGCTAAGCATACATATCAAGTACTCAAAAATAACCTGTAGAGCAAGCAATGATAAAAAGGACAAGCCAAAGAAACTTCTATTGCAAACAAAATTTCTGAAAGCATCTAACAACCATACTGTAAGCGGAGATCACGACATGCAGACTGTAAATGATCGTGTCATAAAACATGGAGTAGATATTGGCTATGAACTGTTGAGCTATCTAACTGATTAGGTTAGTAATATTTAAAGCACCTCATGAATATATAAGAATACATTAACTGGTAACAGGACCAAGTATACCAATATCCCAAACAGAACATACATACCTAATTAGCAACTGGTTACTTGTTGTAAACACAACGTTTAATTTGCTGATGTAACAAATTTGGATTAAGATTATACACTCATCATCAACCAAAATCAACACCTTCTGTTTTTTGAGTTCACTCTTGTTCATTTGTTTCTTAGTTGTCCTTAAAATTTGAAAATGAGCAGTGCAATATCTTTCATATATAAAGATTCATACGAGTAAACTTGAATAGACACTACCTGACTATAGAACTTTTCAGGATTTTCTTCCCGGAGATTATGAATGTCAAGAGCAACCTTTGCATCACAACCGATACCTGTGACAATGGTCAAATAAGGATTTTGGATAAAGTGCATTGATAGAACTAAACCTACACACCTACCTAGATAATTGTTCATATACTTCACCATAAGCACATTTTTTCCTCGCTTATCTTCAATTGCCACCTTCCATCTATCTAAGATGGTCACTGCTGCATGCTCTATGTCATGTAGAACTGTGCAGAGGCCTCCTTGCTTCTCAACAGCACCTAGACCACCTCCCCAAGATAAAACTCTTGAAAGATCATTCCCAGTGCCAGCTGGAAGAATCGCAACAGGCGGAGGTGATTCATAATTTTGTTTATCTATTGCATCAAGAACCCAACCAACAGTACCATCTCCACCACATACAAGGATTCTGAAATGTGGTACCTTTCGGAACAATAATAATCCTATCTCTGGCCCTTGTGATGAACTCAGCTCAAACACCTAAAAAACGAATGTAGCCAATCAGTGAATCACAAATATCTTAGCAACACTGTTAAGGTACAGTGCTCATAGAACAGATCAATCTTGAATTGTTATCCAGAACAGACAAACTAATCACTAAGACAGGGCAGGACTGTCCATAGATGATGCAAAAGAAAGATACTACCTCCGTTTCAGGTTATAAGACTTTCTAGCATTGCCCACATTCATATCTGTTAAAGAATCTAGACACGTATGCTAGAAAGTCTTATAACCTGAAACGGAGGTAGTACTAACTACCAGAGAATGTGGTCTGCTTAAGACATTTGTTTGGTATATGAGTTCCGATACTTGGGCCAACAACATCAGACAGGCAATCAAGGTTTTGCTTTGTGTTCATCTTGTGGATATGGTTGGAAAAGCAGCTTATCCCAAGGAACATATTTTCTGAGTTTTACTCCCACGTTGTTAGGCCAATATGCCATGCTAATGAAATCAACCAAGGCCCAACAATCTAGGATTACTGAGGGATCCAGCTTAACAAGGCAGTTGCTAGCAACATGAAGGTTATATAATCTGAGGTGATTCTACACAGCATGGATGAGATGAGTGAATACAGGAAAAACAGCGATGCATTCAGTATATTCAATAAATACTAAAGATTTGCTCATACTAAAGTATGCAATATATATTTGATGTACATTTCACTAATAAAGGTGCTAGTGCGAGAAGTATCATGACCTGAACTGGATTCAAAAGAAAATGTAGGCGGTGCTTTAGAGAATCTCCACGTTGAGCCCCACTTCTTTTGTTGATGAACACTAGAAGGGGTCTGGCATCAGCAGGCAAGTCATCCAGTATGTACTTAAGTTTAGCTCCTTCAGCATCATCATGGTGTAATCTTCTAGGCTCTGGTATAACTTCTTTACAATCACTCTCGCTGCTATCATGCTCATTCTCAGCACTCCTCTGAACATTGTCCCCAGATGATTTCAAGTCCTTAGCCCTCTGATTAGCATTTGCTGCGGTATCACATGATGAATCATCATTACTGTCACCAACATTACAGTCAGAAGGTACCCTGCTATGTTCCTTCTGCTTCTTGCTTCGGTTCCTGAGATGCCCCCTCACAGTGGATGCAAATTCATTTGCACCATGTGTTATGGAACTTAAAATTCCACCAGGCTTGCTCCTGGTTTTCACAAAAAGAGGCGAAAGAATAAGGCGTTTGAATGGACCGAGATCACAAATATCACCTGTCTCTGTAGCCATGCTTGAGTGGCAATCAACATGCACCAACCGTTGGCACCACATGCAGCAGTATATAGGAGGGCCTCCAAGAAAAGATCCACTGCATGGCTCCTCACAGTAACTACAGTATTGAGCTTCTTCAGACTGATCAGCTATATCTGTCCAGAGTACGGTCCATTGATGGACAACATGTTTTGATCCAAACATTGAAACACATTTGCAGTCCTTCTGAGAATTTGAAGAACAGATCATGTGTGCAGCTGCACCGCAGACATCACACCGGTGAACCATATTCTCAGATGTTGTCATTTGCCCAAGGGGCTGAGCAGGTGAAATAGATTCTAAACACACACAGCACTTCAGTCCTTTTGCACGAAGTAAAGATTCTACACTCCAAACATGTTCAGCAGTTGGAACCTTGTGGGTTCTTTCAAAATTCTTCCTTTTTGATCTTGCTATCATTTTCATCCAGCTCAAACTGATCTTTCGTCTCCATAGTGAGAAAAGGTACAAAACTGTCAAAAGACCAACTATACCAATGGTGAAACAAACCACAATTGGGATCCAGAGTTCTGACAGATTAAGGGTTTTACTGTGCCAATTGAACATAAGTTTTCTAAATTGATCTCTCCACCAGACAATCATTGAAGTTGATGGTTCCAAGAAATTATAACCTTGAAATGAGGACATCATAACAATAACCTATATCCTCTTAATAATCACACTGTTTTTATTATAGCTCTGCAAAGCTGAATAAGCTGTATAAATATGATTTGCAATCAGAAGATATATGAATAAACAAAAAGGCATGTAGATGTAACTAATATGATCAAGTGATTGTACTGATCATGCTGGACAAAAGTACAGAATGCTCTTTAGCAATGAGTGATTGCATTTCTGAAGCACTAACATGCGCATCTCATCAAAGTACAATAACATGTAGATTGGGATTACTATCCATAATATAAGAGATTATGTTAGTAGGAAGAGTACTGATTCACAACTGCATTCTCAAGTCACAGATGATATACCGAGTTGCTGCATTCTTAAGAATAATTTAATACTTAAATGTTTCGATCTTCATGGCAAACACAAGTTGCAAACAAAGCATAAAGCAAGACATCTTAACAACACCTTAGGGGGTGTTTAGATCCAGGAGTGTAAAGTTTTGGCGTGTCACATCGGGTATTATATAGGGTGTCATATGGGGTGTTAGGGCACTAATAAAAAAACTAATTACAGAATCCGTCAGTAAACCACGAGACGGATTTATTAAGCCTAATTAATCCGCCATTAGTAAATGTTTACTGTAGCACCACATTGTCAAATCATGGAGCTATTAGGCTTAAAAGATTCGTCTCGCAAATTAGTCGCAATCTGTGCAATTAGTTATTTTTTAAGCCTATATTTAATACTCACAAACGTTCGATGTGGATGTGATAGGGTGAAATAGGAACTAAACAGGGCCTTAGTACTAGAGAACTTTTACGGTACAATATACTACCAGTATATACTGGCAGTATATAAAAGGGCATATTAGGAATTTGATAGAAAATAAAACAACACTTTAGTAATTTTTGGTTCAAATTGAATTTAATTGAGAGTACCTAGTCCTGGATCTTATCGTGCACTAGGGGAGGAGCATCCTGAGAGCCATTTGATGACAAAGCACGTGACGATAGCACGATTTGATGATAGAATAACGAAGAAAAGACAAAATTACCCTTTCAAACTTTATACTGCAATCTAATTAAATAAAAAATTAAATCAATCTACACCGTTAGATCATATATACTTGCAGTATATACTAGCAGTATATTGTACCATAAAAATCCTCTCTAGTACTATTCAGATTTCAGACTACATAAGGTTAGGCAATAAAGGTGCAGAATTATCTCAGAGATACTGAGTTATTCCCCACTCACTATTCACTAATCAGAACTAAATAGTCGATAGTGCATCAATAGCGGAGTAACTAAATGCTTATATAAAACAAGAAACGCAAGAAATCAGGAAAAAAAATTGGCACATAGAGCCTTCGATGAAATTAAGTACTCCAAATAAAGCTGCAGGCTGCAGCAACCTCCACAAGTGAAAAGGAACCAGAAAGATATTTGGCAGGCTTTGCCTAGAACAAAAGGCAGTATTTAGCCCCCGAAGAAGCAACACGAAACCAGGCCAAAAAATTCCATTCCAGATTAGTTTTTAGTAGAGCAAAGCCTAATTTTTCGGCAGTGTAGAAGAAAGAAACAGAGGGGGGAAACTGAAATAAAAAGCACAGAGAAGCAGAAAGAAATCGAATTGATTTCTGCAGAGAATTAGCCTCCCGTTCTTTTCCTCCAAAACGTCACCAAACCAACCAAAAAAAAGACAGAGAGACATGAACAGAGAGAGAAATATGCGGCGTTGGTGTGGACTTACGCCATGAACCGGCAGTAGTTTTCCCCAATCAAAGGCCACCGATTCCTCACTCCTCCATGTCCATGGCTGGTTGCTTGGTTGATTTCTTGCTCTGCAAAAAGAAGGAAAGGGGAAGCGAAGCGGATTGCTGGGTGAGAGGGATTTTGCAAAAACGAGGAAGAGGAATCCAAAGGGCCAGGGAAGAAGCTGTCTTGAGGGGCCCAGAGAATAGATTCTGGGTGAGATCAGAGCCGTTGATTCCGTGATCGAGAGCGGATCGGACGGTTGGGATCTGTCCACGTCTGTCCCCTTGGGGGTGAATCTCCCTCCAGGGCCAAGTGATGCACGCGTCGTTTTCTCCTACTCCTACTTCTTTTTCTTGTTTGGAATTTTGGAGACACCCCCTGGATTTCACGATAATTAACCGGCGGTTTCCCAATTTGGGCTTTGGGAGAGTTGTAATTAGGGTGTGTTTAGTTGATGTTAAAATTAAAAGTTTGGTTGAAATTGAAATGATGTGATGAAAAAGTTAAAAATTTGAAAAAAGAAAAACTTTGTAACTAAACACGGTCTAAGTGTATCTGAACACGGAATATTTCACTCCAACCTCAGGCTTCTAATTAATCCCCTCGCATGTCATAATAAAAACATGGTTGTTCTGAATGTTGATGTAGTCTCGCAAAATACGATTTTTAACCGTTAATTTATATTAAGTAGGAGTATATTACAAAACATTTGAATACCCAATACAATGAGAACACTTTATTGTAAGGTAAAATATATATGCATATATTATTTTTCATATATCGTATGATCTAATATTTTTGAAACCTACATCCAAACTTTAAATTTCGGCTTGATGAAACGTGCCGAAACAACACAGTGACAGCGCGTGCTGTTAAAAGTGCTGAGTGCTAACACGATGGGAGATGTGTCGCGATGTTTTGAAGCGCAATACTAGCCCCATCTACTATTACTGTCTATTTAGTAGAGCTATAACTTCTAAATTTAGTTTTAGCAGTTGGGTCATATCTCTAGTTTATTTTATGAGAGAGCTTCGTCTAGCTCCGCTCCTATTTTTAGTGAAGCTGAAACTGTTTGGCTGAGCTTCAGAGAGCTGTGTCAAACAAGATCTAGATGAAAACATAATTAAGAAGAATAATACACCATTTTCTTTTTATTTCTTTCAGATGGAGGGGAAGAATATAGGCGCACACACACCGACACACGCCTGAATACCTGATCGATCGATCGAGTACGTGGAGAGACGATAAGAGAAAGGCCACACGCAGCGCGGGACTTGGAACGCGACGCGGCGGCGATTTGTTGCGCTGCTCCCGACGAGACGAGTCCAAACTCCATCGTGGTGGCAGCAGTAGCTTCCTGACGACGCGTGTCTCCCGGTACAACGACACGTGGGCACAGCGACCCCATGAGATGTCGGCATGGCCGGGGAGATTATATGTCACCTTTTATTTCCGAAATTTCGTTTGGTAACACCCTTTAACCTATATTTTTATTTTATAATATTATCTTGGTTATACTTTGGGTTTATACGTTTTTTTTCAAGCATGTGCACTGTTTCAATTATTATATCGGTTCCTACTTGTCAATGATTTCCTTACACCTATATGTAGATCATTTCTTTGACATCAAATAAGTTAGATGTAGACATAAGGCAAGATTAGCCGGTTCAAAATGAAAATATCGGTTAAAGGGTGGTCCAATGCAAAACTTCAATAACGAAAGGTGGTCCAAAGTGAAGTTTAGTCTGGGTTGTACAGATTGATGTCATTTTAAACCATAGGTAAAGTTGCTAAAAATATACATACATTTAGTTTTTGTGGCAATTTCATTCTTGTCCATACCTCGATGTCCAATACTGATTTTGCCACTGTTTTTTAGGTTTTCGTTTTTCTCCTACTTTTTTGAAATGAATTAGTCGTTTGCTCCTGTTCCGTTAATTATTGCTAACAGTGTTAAATGTGGAGTGAAAAGGGCAAGTATACCCTTAGATATTTTCTGGTACTTTTATATACCACTTGTACATTTGCTCTATTTTGAGATAAGCCATTTTTGCCACCGTGGCTGGCGTGGCCAAAAGGTTCTGTTTTCAGAAATATTTTCGAAAAAGTCTAATAATAATTTTTTTAAAAAAAAATATAAAAAATCGCTATAAACTATAAAGGGTGTATGATATGTCAGGTATTGATGGTGGGAGGAGATTAAATATTTGGTTTTGAAGTTTGAGATGTATTTTAGACAAGGTACATATAGTTGAGGACATAAAATTGGACTTACCTATTTTGGGACAGACTTTTACATAGTAAGGTTGTGTTTAGATTTAGATCTAGGGGTGAAAATTTTCGCCGTATCACATCGGATATACGGACATATATTTGTAGTATTAAATATAGTCTATTAAAAACTAATTACAGAATCCATCACTAAACAGCGAGACGAATTTATTAAGCCTAATCAATCCGTCATTAACAAATGTTAATTGTAGCACCACATTGTTAAATCATGAAACAATTAGGCTTAAATGATTCGTCTCGCAAATTAGTTACAATCTGTGCAGTTAGTTATTTTTTAAGTCTATATTTAATATTTTATACAGGTGTTCAAAAGTTCAATGTGAATGGGTGCAAAAATTTAGGTGATCTAAACATGGCCTAAGTACGTTTTGAGTAATATACTGTTTCTTGAAAAAAATAAAAAAAATGATGAAAGAGAACGAACTAAAAAAAACGCAGGAAGGGCAGCATGTGCACGGTGCACCTACTCTACTTCTTATGTTTAGGGTCTTTTTAGTCCCAAACAAAATTTTTCTTACTATCACATCGAATGTTTGATATATGCATAGAGTATTAAATATAAAAAAAATCAATTATACAGTTCACCATGAAATTGCGAGACGAATTTTTTAAGCATAACTGCACCATGATTTGACAATATGGTGATACAGTAAATATTTGCTAATGACCAATTAATTAGGCTTAATAAATTCGTCTCGCGGTTTCCTGGCGGAATATGTAATTTGTTTTATTATTAAACTATGTTTATTACTTTAAATATGTGTCTGTATATTCGATCTGACGTGCAGGGGGCAAAAATTTTTACCAACTAGATGGGCCCTTATATTCATTTCCCAAATTTAAGTCTTTTTCAGGATGGAGGGAGTAGAATATAGAGCACAGAAGGTAAGATAGGGGTTGTTTGGTTAACATACTCACATTGCCAAAGCTTCCCTTACTTCATTTAAGGCCCTGTTTAGATTCCAATTTTTTTCTTCAAATTTTCAACTTTTCCGTCACATCGAACTTTCCTACACACAAACTTCCAACTTTTCCATCACATCGTTCTAATTTCTTCAAACTCCCAATTTTAGCGTGGAACAGCTTAACTAACATGTCTAACATAAGGCCAATAAAATTAAAGCCACACTTAGCCATAGGATAGCAAGCTTGTCACTAGGGGGTGAAAACGGGGCGGGTGTTTCCCGCCCGCTCGCGCCCGCTCGCCCAGCCACATTATTTCGGGACAAATTCGGGTACCGGGGACTTTTCACGGATATCGGGTCCGAATACGGGTCTTTTTTTTGCGGATACGAGATTGGGTTCGGGGATGTATTCTCCGACTGATACAGATTATCCGGTAAAAAAATTCGGGTATTACCTGAATATCACCCATATTATGTTTTTGTGAGGCACTTTTTTTTACTATGTACTGGTAGGGTTGAAATTGATATGCATAGTTTATGTCCGTCCAGATCATTTTTCGGATTCGAATAGTTTCGGTCGAAACTATCCGGAAATTCTCTGATTCGGAAACGAATTCGGATTTTTTTTCTTAGAAATGAAAACGAATAAAGTAAGGGTACTAACTGTCAGAATCGGAAAACGGTCGGAAACTATCTGGAATTTTTTTCAGATATCCGCAGACATGGATCAAATTTTAGAAAAAACACGTATATATACAACTTTTTCATATGAAGTCAGATGAAGACAAACTTTATATCAAAATTGTAGAGCTCGATGAAATCTACAAATTTATTATTGACTATTTTATTATTTGAGGTCATTTAAGGGTCTAAATATTCATTATAAAATACCATACCTATTTTTACAAAATCTCAGATCTACAATTCAAAGTACCAATTTGATGGAGATGTGTTCTATATCAAAGTTGTAGAGCTCAACGGGATCTACCACTTTATAGTTTATAACATTTATATTTGAATATATTTAAAGTATAAAACAAACATTACAAGTTTCGACGATGTGAAGTAAAATAAATAACATCTCCAATTTATACAACAAGAACTTGATAAGTGATATGGTAAGTAAGCTATACATATTGTAAAAGTTCTTGAGATTAGAAAATGAATAATCATATTTACATATGGATCTCTTAGGGAACGACCATGAAAATCGATTTTCACATACGTACGGTTGTGGGACTGCCTACAAAATTGACGATATAAATATTGGAGATGTTGACCTAAAATAATACGCGATATCTCTTCTTCCTTGGATTAAGAAACTCAATTTAAGGGGTCCTTTATATTTCGACAAATATTCGTTACTGTATTCGGTCCGTCTCGTATTCACTCCGTATCTGTATTCGATAATATTTGATTTCATTTCCGTATCCGAGTTTTCGATTTCGATTCCGATTCAAAAAAAAATGAAAACGAATATGATAAAGCTAGTTTCCGTCCGTATCCGATCTGTTTTCATCCCTATGTACTGGTTCTACTATGATGTATTGTACCTTGTTTATTTCCTAAGGTCCTAATGGCCTAATATAATTGTATTATGGATATATGGAATAGTTAAATGGTTATTGTCTATGTGATATATAAGATTGTTGCTTCGACTTGATATCCGAATAAATATCTGTAACCGATAGTGTATGTATCCATTTTGGTACGTATTCGTTTCGTATTTTTGCCCGACATTATCTGAGTTTGTATCCGTATTCGACACTATTTGTGTCCGACCCAATTCCGATTATAAAATATGGGTTAGGATATGGGAAGGGTGAGATGACCCGTTTTCACCCCTACTTGTCACGCTTTTACGTGCCAATAACACGTGGGACCCATATCATGATGAAGAAATCCTACTATAAATGTGGCACGAACAAAACAGATGTCTAAGAGCATCTCCAACAGCATCTCCAAATTAGACTCTCCAAATACTCATATAGCCAACTCTTCAATTGATTTGGGTAGTCAAACTAGGTATTCACTCCGACAGTCTCTCTATTTACATCTCCAAAATAACTGTGGGACCCACCTATCAGCCTCAATTGCCTTCTTCCTCCTCTTTCCCTTTCTCTTTCTCTTCTCCCGGACGGCAGCTATCGACGATGCGCTAGCGAGGCGGGAGACGACGGCGGCGGCGGATACCCGCGCGTGAGGCAGGAGGCGACGATTGGGGCGGATCCCCGTGCACGCGAGGCGGGAGGCGGCGGCGGCGGCGGCTACCTGCGCGCGCGAGCCTGGAGGCGACGGCGGCAGCGGCGGATCCCCGTGCACGCGAGGTGGGAGGCGACAGCGGCGGCGGCTACCTGCGCGCGCGAGCCGGGAGGCGACGGCGGCGGCGGCGGATCCCCGTGCACGCGAGGCGGGAGGCGGCGGCGGCGGCTACCCGCGCGCGTGAGCCGGGAGGCGACGGTAGCAGCGGATCCCCGTGCACGCGAGCTGGGAGGCGACGGCGGCTATCAACGACACGAACGACTACGGCGACGGCGGCGGTTGCAAGGTATGCGGACGGAGGGAGGCAGCTCCGGCGCCTCTCTTGTCCGTGCCGTCGTCGACGCTGCGGGCTGCGCCTCTCTCCTTTGTGCCTCTCTGAGCCGACGAGGAGATGGGAGGGATGTGTGTGGGGCCCATGGTTGGTCGGTGACTATTGGCTGGCCAAGTTTGGCTAGTGGGGGGAGGGTTTTGGTCAAGTTAGAGAGGCTATTGGAGGACGTTTTTTTTTAAACTGGAATGGCTAAAATTTAGCTTGGAGAGTCACTTGGAGAGGCTGTTGGAGATTCTTCAACTTACTCCCTCCGTCCCAAAAAAAAAACAAACCCTGGATTTCCGTGCCAACGTTTGACTGTCCGTCTTATATGAAATTTTTTTATAATTAGTATTTTCATTGTTGTTAGATGATAAAACATGATTAATACTTTATGTGTGACTTATCTTTTTAATTTTTTTCATAATTTTTTTAAATAAGACGGACGATCAAACGTTAGGCACGAAAAACAGGTTTGTTTTTTTTTGACGGAGGGAGTAGTTAAATTTGGCTAATTTGAATTGTAATATGGTGAGATAAATTGTACTAGCAGTGATCCAAACAAGTACAAGTAGCGCATCATCATCATCGGTGTGTCGTGACTTGCGTTCGTCGGTGTGTACGCTACTGGACCATATACTGGTTCGGATCGTATCAAAATCAATCCTTTCTCGTCCACACACTCATGAATCATCGCTCACTCAAACAGCCTTGCCTCCTCCTGTTGAGTTGACCCGATCCCATCCGGTGTTATCCATCCCTTCCCTGATCCCCCATCCATCGCCGCCGCCGCCGCCGCCGTGGAGACGATGACGACGACGAAGAAGAAGCTCGTCATCGACACCGACCCGGGAATCGGTCCGCTCGTCCTCTTCGTCGCATCCTTCTCTGTATTTCTTGTTCGATTCGCTCGCTCGCTCACTGACGGCGCACGCGCGCACGCACGCACGCAGATGACGCCATGGCCATCTTCGTGGCGCTGAGGTCGCCGGAGGTGGAGCTGCTGGGCCTCACCACCATCTTCGGCAACGTCTACACCACCCTCGCCACCCGCAACGCCCTCCACCTGGTTGGGTTTGCTTCCCTATCCATCTTGATTTTTTTGGGAATACATATCCATCTTAATTTGATCTTACCCATCCCCAACCACCCCCAACCTGTTTCTGCATCATCATCTTCATCTAACACTACTGTTGTATTTGTTTTGTTTCAGCTGGAGGCTGTTGGGAGGACTGACATCCCCGTGGCAGAGGGATCCCATGTAACAATCAAGGTCTCACAATGCCACCTCCCATTGCAATCTACTACCACTTGTTCTTTCTTCTCTGCAGCATAATCGATCAGATTGTAGGCTTGTTCTTTCTTCTCTGCAGCATAATCGATCAGATTGTAGGCTTTGAAAATGATTAGTGATTACTCCATATGTAACCTTAGCAAGGGGAAGGGCGTGCCAATTTGATTAGCTTGTAATATAGTACAATTCAGTTCAGTTTGCCTGCTGCATCAATCCTAGCTAACAAGTGGTAATCTTATTTGATTTCGCTGTCCACGGCACAAAGAAAGCCACCAAGCTACGGATTGCGAGCTTTGTTCATGGCTCGGATGGTCTAGGAAATCAGAACTTTCCTCCGCCAACTGGGAAGCCCTTAGATCAATCGGCCGCCGCGTTTCTTGTCGAGCAGGCAAATCTGTACCCTGGACAAGTTACTGTGGTTGCCCTTGGTCCACTTACCAACCTAGCTTTGGTATGCTTTTCTTTCCTCTATACTACTATGTGCTTGCCCACCTTACTTTTTTTCCTTTAAGAAAAACTGTGCAAACTATTTACATGTCTCATTTCCTAGGCTATAGAACTTGATCCTTCTTTCCCGAAGAAGATTGGGCAGATTGTGATCCTTGGTGGTGCGTATTCAGTTAATGGAAATGTCAACCCTGCAGCTGAGGCAAATGTGAGGGAGGCTCTATTTTTTCTCTGAAATGGAACATTTTCTATTCCTTTCTGGTAACATGTTCATGATCCTGCTTACTGATGGAATATGTTTATATTAACAGATATTTGGTGACCCTGATGCAGCTGATATAGTTTTCACCTCCGGTGCTGATATTTTGGCTGTGGGAATAAATATTACACACCAAGTAGTTCTTTCTGGTAATTCTTGCTGTGCTTGCGATTGATTTTGTCAAATATCTGCTTCACTGAGCTCTGTTAAGATATGTGACTATGCCTTTTATTTTCATCTAACTTTTTAATTTCCAGTATTGTGTCAGAGCTGATCTGTACTGTTAGTATGCAAGCTAACTACTTTTATTTTGGCATTGAGCAGTTAGGTTGTTTTTAGCAGCAATATTGTAATTGTTGCTTGGTATCATTTACATGGATGCATCAGATCAGTTTGAATCTATAAGATGATTAGAAGTTGAGTACTTCAGTGCAACACAAGAACTTTCATAATTTGACAAGAACCTACCTCTTATTGCTGCAGATGCTGACCGGGAAAAGCTTGAACAGTCTGATAGCAAATATGCCCGATACTTGAGCAAGATCCTGGGTCTTTATTATGATTACCACAAGGACGCCTACTTCATAAAAGGTCAGTGCCTAGCATCATGCAAGTTCATCGGGAAAAAAAGGTTGCACAGTCTGTAAAAACTTACGTGAAGAGGGGACGGATCAGACACCAAGCAATTCTCCAAAGCAGAATATTAGTGACAGACATTGTGTGTCGAAAATTACAGGAGTGTATCTTCACGATCCAGCAACACTTATTGCTGCGGTAGATCCGTCACTGATGACTTACACGGAAGGTGTAGTGAGGGTGCAGACTGATGGCATCACAAAGGGTCTCACAGTTTTCGACACAACCAAGAAAAGGTTAGGCCTATACCATATTGCTGCAATTCTTGTCCAAAGTTCAATGAGTAGTCTTAGTGTCATTATATCCACAACAGTTATACAGCTATTAATGCCTATCAGCACTGTTGCTTATCCAGCAACAACCAGTCTCATCTTTTCGCTTATGCTTATGCTTATGCTTATCAGTCAAAATTTGAATTTTCTATCTTAAATTTGAAGTTGATTTTGGGGTTTTTTCATCGAAGTTTATTTTTCAGCCTTTGTTTTTAGATCGTTAAGAACACGTATATAAAAAAAATTACAAATTATTTTTTGTTTGCAAATATGCTGTTTTGCTTATGCCCCTAATAAGCGAAACGATGGGGCTGCAACAACATGTGATTAGCCTTTGTTGCTGCAACAACCTCCAACTGAACCTTGTTTTGTAGTACCACGTACCCTACGAAAACCACATTGATGAAATCAATAAGCATTGCCTTCAAATCCCCTTTGCTTGAATGTGTAATGTGTTCCTACTCCTATATTTATCGATTCGGAATTTGCTGCAGGTATGGGGAGATAACTGCGTGGACCGGTAAGCCAACCGTGAAGGTTGCTGTGACCGTTGATGCTCCTGCCGTTGTGGAGATGATCATGCAGAGGCTTACGACGGATGATTAGCAGCAGCAGCAGCAGCAGCAGCAAGCAAGCAGCCAAGGGAAAAACGCTGCCTTTGTCTTGTTGAACCTGTCGGATCTTATAAAGAATAGACAATGCTGTATATCCTAAATTCTGAAGAATTTGCTTTACATGATTCGTCGTCGAGGTTGATCAACATCACACAGAACTAGCTAGAAACAGCCTGATGCACTGATTCAGAGGTTGACAATCCATTTCAATTTTATGGCCAGAATTCATACTACAAAGAGTAAATTTCAGAAAGCTAAAATTGTCCATCTGTGGCGCCTATTCTGCATCAAAATCTAAAGTCCGCCTCACATACTCCAATTGTTCAAAAAAAAAAAGATGCATCACAAAACAACGATAAACATCTTTGACCCATAAGATCCACTTAAACATTCAAATTCACAGCACAAAGAAACTCGAGCACGCCCCTTTTAACTGTTCATACTAGAGCACACTGGACATGTGTTTTTAGACAGATGAACGAACGAATTCACTAAAACTTAATAGCAATGCTTCACTGAGCATACTTGGGATGATCAGAATGATGGCCTTATAGCATAACAGGACTTGCTTCACAAATCGAACGATGGATGAGTTGGAATTTTACAACTCCAGTGAATGCACACTTGTTTGCTTCACTTCTCAAACATCAATTAGATAGTTATAAAAACTCTAAAAAAAATGAAAACATTTATATACAAGGCAAGCAACAGTGGTGTCACACAAGAGTCCATACTTTCTGTCATTTCATCTTCCGTGGCAATAGCGCTATAGATTAGCCAGGGGTACCAGTTTATAACATACTAGACATTTTGCGCGCGTTGCGCGCCCTATCAGGAGTCCAACAAAGGGGTACCATTAAGCATGTTGTGGGCGAATAAAATTAAAGATCCACACTCTCACTGAACAACAAAGCATCAGAATTAACCATAAGACATAATCATTACTCTCATAGTGAGGGCATGACAAAATAGTAGCTGTTTAAATGACAGCATGTTTAAATACAGGGAGCATTGGTTACCAACGTTTTTCTTAACCAATGCCATTACAGAGTAAATGGTTCACTTCTAGCACTACATAGCTAGTGCACACCATAATTTATTTTATAGAAACATTGGATGAAGGTAGACAACTGCATTTAGATCACAATAATCTTTGATACCTTGGTTGACACTAAAACTTTTCATCATATCATACATAAAAAATCAAAAGATCTCTCAAGATCACAAACACAGATTAGATGGCATTCTACTATAAATCTTTTTTTTTGGAGATATTTTAAATCGTCACTGGGAGAAAAAAACATAGATTTCTATGATAAATAGAGTGAATATTGTGTTGAAGATATGCAAACAAAATTACCAGAATAACATCTAAGCACAGAAACATGTCCTTTTCAATTCTTGCAAGACAACTTCTGTAATCAGCAATTTGCACAGTAGTATCGCAAATACAGAGAACATTGTATTGCAGTTATACACAGAAATAACCAGCAAAGCTTCTAAGCATAGATAAACAGGCATTTTCAATGTTGTAAGAAAATTTTCGTGATCAGAAAGCTAATAGATGCATAAAGACGAATTTCGTGATCAGAAAGAGCCATATAGGCTCATGCTTTGTATTATCTCAATTCAGAAAGACAACCAGGATTATAGATGCAGGACCCAAAAGAAATGCCATGTAAGAATTAAATGATCTGAACACCTCTAGCCAATAGTGAACCCATGGCCCGCTGTTTAAATCATTTAAGATTTAACAGCAAATCCAGCTCCTTAAGCACCATAATCTAATCAAACTAAAAAAAAGGAAAAATAAAATGAACAAAGAATGGCATTTCTGCCTGTTGCTCCATGCTATCGCCAATGTATAATCTCCTTGCCACCTAAATGTTGCATCCAAACGTGCAATAAATGAGAGGTTACCTGCAAGAATATTGAATTAGTGACTATTCTTTCAATTTGGATGTATTAGTTAATTATCAATGATTTAATATGGGGCTGTATGGCTTTATTTACTTATCATTAAGCTAGAGCTGGAAGATCATAGCTAGAACTAATAATGGCATAGTAGCATCTAGAAAATAAAAGTACCCTATTATTTTCAGAGGAACATTGCTTCTGCTCTATTACAACTGACTCTTCTGGAGTGGATCTTTGTAATAATTGGCTGTAGTTCTTTTTGAGCAAAGGCCGGGATATTATATTCCATTATCTAAAAAAAATGAGCTAAAGGAATGCAGTAAAAAACCTCTTCATTATGGCAGACCATGCCTGATGTGGTTACAATGTGATTATAGGAATTAAATTTATCTGGTTGTAGATTCTAGAACTCTTCATCTACAGAACACACAAAGGGCAATTTTCTAAAACCAGATTGGGCGTCACACATTATAGAATTATTTGCACAGTATTGGCCACTTAATGCTGGTGTTTTCCTTGAAAACTCAATCAGGAATCTCAGGGACCATACTGATTTATGAATCACAGGGACAAGCGACGACTGATTGCAATTTGAGAAGTTCTTTAGCTATTGAGGTAGATAGTCACATAAATATTCTAGCCAAAAAAGCAGTTGTCAGCAATCATTATATATGAAATGCATACATCTATAGAACTAACTACAAATGAATATTTTCAATGATGCATTTCATTAGCAATTTTAACTCTTCCCTTGTATTATGAATATCGATCTAACTGCTAATATTAAGGTAGTTTCAAATGTTTAGAGCAAATTAAGTGGAAAGTAGGATCCAAATCTAAATCCTAACAAATCATTCGGGCTTACATTACAGGTCATGCAGGCGTAACTGATAGCTTTAAGATCGCCACATCACCATGCTTGTAGGAAAAACAACGAACACCTTGTAGGCAGGGCATCACACAAAACAACACCTCAAATCTTGGTGGGGAATAGAAATGAAAATCAAATACCAGTGGACGATGGCGTGATGCGATGAGGGCAAGCTTGATGCATCCAGAGAACGGCTAGGCGATGGAGACAACTCCTCCTCCCTCTGATGACCAGAAAAAACAGGAGCTTGCCACTGCTCATGGAGCCCCCACATCACTCGAAAATCAAGTCATGCGCCGCCAGACCGACTCCTCGCCTTCGAGAACTCCGTGCCGACGCCATCTTCTCGCAAGCTCGAGGCGTTCGCCTCCTGGGCCCATCGGCCTACACCACCACGCTGGGGACGCCGCCAGCAACCTACTTCAAGTCGACACCGCCGTGCGCTCCTCCTCCCTTCGCCAGATCCGATCGCTGCACGGCAGCTGCCACCAAATCGGAAGGCAGCGTGGGGCTTGTATTGAGGAGACAGGTAAATCGACGACGAGGTAGTGAGAACGACGAAGACCTAACCCGATTGAATGTTGGATCGACCGACTCGTTGTCGACGTACTGAGCCTCTCACCATTGAGCTCGAGCTCGAGCTCAGCGGCACCGGCAGAAAGGAGAGAGAGAGAGAGGCAGTGGAGGACATGCGGCGACGCACGGCGGTGTCGGGGCCAGGACAGGCGTCGGAGGATGGAGCGGCGCTGCAGGGCATTGGTGGGGCGGGGAGAGGCGGCGCGAGGAGGGTGAGGCGACGCACCGGCACGGGGGCTAGGGTTTCAGGGAGGATGGGCCGAAGGGAGACAGAGTTTTATGTTGTTTCAGAAAAGCCCCTTGATTTGTGTTTTTCAGAGCGCAGTCCTATTTTCTTTTTTTCCTCTTCTCCGTATAGGATTTTCATGGTTGTGGAGGGTCTATATGTAAGAAATCAGAACATATGATCGCACCATGCGAGATCTAAAACAAATTATGTATTAATTATGGGTTTTTTTGCAAAATGTCCACCCAATTACGACCGATCTCGGCCGTTGCTGCGAGGGATCGGACGGCGCTGGAGCCGCTCGCGCGGACGCTCGAGGGGGCGCGGAATCCGCCCGCCTCCCAGCGCTCGCGAGCGACGTGGATAGCTCCGCGTGCGAACACGCCGCCCCGAATCGCTCTCCGCTCGCCAATTCAGGGCAGGTTTTAATTTAACCGATTCAGACGAACTGCAACTCTGTAATAGAAGACGCTTTGTTTCCTCAGCATGAATGTTATAACAAAATACCAGCAGAATTTATTATAGGTTACAGTATATCAATAGAATGAAGCATTACACCTTAAATAGCATAAACACAAACTAAATTGTAGTATATAATCAACTGTAACTCTAGATGAAAATTGAAGCATATTCTTTTTTTGAAGACTACATTTATTCTATCCTCCAGTTGTACCAACTAGCAATTGTGTCCATCAGTATACTCTTTAACTGCAATGTTCACAGAAAATTCGCCACTACAATGTTCACAGAAAAATTCGCCGCTGCAGTATACCTGAAACAGTAAACAGAATACATAAATTAGATTAACTATTTTACCTAGAACTATGGTTGCCTGCTCAATCTGTACGATTCATGGAAGCATCACTAGTTCAAGTGTGACCATTTACATGAATGGTTTGTAAGCATCAATAAAAATGTTTTGACTGCAATAACAATACTTTGAGGTATTTTACAGACAAATAACACTAGGTAGATGATTGTAGGGTAACAACAGGTTTGCTCTTACAAAAAAAACTCACCATTGACAAAAATCTAAATTAGTATCAAATCGTCAATATAAAGGTAAGGTGCAGAACCTAATGTTCCTCTCTCAAACCTTTGTCATTAACGTTAAGGCTATAAAGAAAAGCCTCTCATCTGACCCTTCAATAGATGGAGATTTCAAGAGCAATACTTCGAAGACAGCTTATGAATGAACACTATCGTTTCACCTGCACAGGGAAAAGCAGCGCCAGGACTCTGCTCATGTGCTTTCAAGGTTACTGATACCATTATCCGCGTGACTACCACCACTCCACAAGTTCTTGGTTGTATTGGCCCTCTCAAGAATCAAGAATGGTGTTGCTTGTGCTAAAATATGGTGCTATGGGGCTTATTCTGCATCAAAACCTAAAATCCGCCTCAAATATTCCAATTGCTCAAACTCGCCTTCGAGGTTCTCCCACTGCAATTGTTGTATAAAACAAAAACATTAAGATGCATCATAAAACAATGATAAACATCCTTCATCTGCTCAATGGGCCCAGAAAATCCGTTAACACACAAATTCACAGCATAAAGCAACACAGACATGTGTCCCTTCAAACAGTTCAAGAGCACAAAGACCATGTTTTAAATGGATCGCAGCGAAAGTACAGAAACAAATGCATGTGGTGTTCTCCAGCAAATGAACATATTGGTTGGTTCTAGTCTGCTCATATATGGTGACAGTTTTTAGTGGTTGGTTCTAGTCTCTAGATAATTGCATATGATACTATGGTAATTCCGTATGGTACGTGTAATTGCAAAATAAATTACAAATCACCAACAAATTAAAGAATAAATTTAGATCAATTATTACTAGTTGCCATTTTCCAACTTTGACTAACCTCTTGATGAGATAAAGAAACAAGGTTCCATCCAGCAGCAGCAATGTAACGTCGTTTAAATGCTGTGTGGCCTAATGGTGTACCTGAAAAATAAGTCCACGTTTAACATTAGTTTCTCCTTTGCCACTTCAGTAGGACAAGACGATGATAGCATGTGGATATACAACAAATAGCACATCAGGATTAAACGCAACAAAAACGAGCGAGGTGTACCTAAATTCCTTGAGAAATGTGATGGTCCGTCTATTTCAAATGCAAGCTTCTCGTCAACCAACACCGCGTCAACAGTGTAGCCATCAATTGTATACTCTTTATTCCATTCATGCCCTGTACTACATAGGAGACGCCCAACCTCCTTTTGAAACGAGGAGGTCATCTTCTGATTGAACCGTTTGCTCCTTCCAGTTTTTGTTAAATTCTCTTCAAGATCACCTCGTAAGCACATATCAAGATGTGGGTATTCTAGCTTCAAAGACTGATTTGCAAGATAAACTTGTGAAACAAACATCATATCTTCTCTATACTGATCTGAGATTTTCCGTTCTTCAAATTGACTTAGAGTTTTCCAGATCCCTGAGAAGAACGGACGGTCCATTTGGCCTAAAACAGCATAGGACCAAGCAATATTTCCAATCTGATCTCGGGTAAAGTTCAGAGCATAGGCATTGCTACTGTTTTTCAGGCTAGAAGCTTCTTTGTCTGAGCTCTGCCACATGCCAGGCACTGTATCATGTAGATGGCAATCGAAACTAGGAGCATCCCTGCAAGCAGTATCAAGTGCATCAAGTAGAGGATACGGACACTCGTTAAGAGAAGCGCATCCCCACAAGAACTGGGCGAGCTCTTGCTCCTTGAAGGTGTACACTAGTTCTGCTGCTCTCCGGGTCAATGCTGAGATAAGGTCCGGTGCTGAGTGGCGCATGGAAGCGAATGATCCGGCTACATTGGCAACATTCTGTGCATTGAAGCTGTCAACCTTGGTGATGGCTACCTGGGCAATCCTATCCATCTCCGGCAAGTAGAGCAGGTCACCCCCAATCTTGGACAAAGCCCAGGAGATGTTAGAAACACCCTGCGGTGAGCATTCCGGCAGGGCCACCATTGCCAGCCCCACGAGCATGGACATGTCCCTGCTGCGCGCGAAGCCGAGCCGGTGCGTCTGTAGCATGGACACCGCCTCCATGTTCTTGGCGATGCGGTGGAGCGCGGTGGCGATGTTGAGCGGCGTGAGCGGGGACGGGCTGAGGCCTTTGGCCACGGCGGCGACCACCTCGGCGGTGAGCGCGAGCACCTCGTCGGCGGTGCGAGCCTCGACGATGGACCTGTTGAGGGACACCTCCTGGCTCCGGTTGGACGGCGCGGCGGGTGAGAAGGCGGAGAGCGTCTGGATGAACTGCTCCCTGTTCCTCTGGCGCTTTTCGTCGAACATGCCATCGGCGAACTGCGCGACCCTGAGCTCGAGGTCGTCCAGCTCACCCCCTCCTGCCAGGAGGGCCTCCAGATCATCGTCCGCTTCCTCCTCGTCGTCCTCATCGTCGTCGGTGTCGCGAGGAGGCTTGGGCTCGGCGGCCTTCTTCTGCTTCAAGTTCGTCTTCTTGGACTTCTTCTTCTTGTTCTTCTTCTTGGGCGAGGCCACCATCCGCTGGAGCGAGGGGGAGAGGCCACGCGCCTCGATGGAGCGGAGAGCGGAGCGGCGCGCGCGGACGCACCAGTCGTTGGTCTCGGCGGGGAGGGAGAGGTCGAGGTCGAGGTCGTCGTCGTCGTCGCCGCCGTCTGCCTCCGTGTCCGCTTCCGCGCCCAGGAAATCGAGCTGCCATTGCGGCGTGGCGCGGCAGCGGCATGCGGGGGGAGCGAGCTTCCTGGGCTTCCCCGCAGCGGCGGCGGCGGCGGCGGAAGGGAGTCGAGAGACGGAGAAGGCGATGGCGATGCTGACGCCGCCTCGGGCAGCGAGGGGAGGAGGACGGAGGAGAGCGGCTTCCATTGCTCGCCGCCGGTAGACTGCGCGGAGTGCAGGAGCAGTGGATAAGGTGATAAACTGATAATGGCCGTGTTTAGTTCCCTACTTCCCCGTCCAAAATTTTGTTGACGTGTATGGACACACATTATTTTTAAGTACTCCATCGTTTCATAATTTAAGACTTTATAGCATTATTCATTACTCCCTCCGGTTCTTTATTTGTTGACGTTTTTGACATGATTTCAGATACCAAGGAGTGATTAATTAGGGTGTTTATTTCCTATTTTGCCCATATTAATTACAATGCATCAACATCTATTGATGCGGTTTGCATGCATGCGCAGGGGTATACTAGTCTAAAGTGAGTGTGTGGAGGCCAAAGCGTCGAGCTTTTGAAGCCAAACAACCCAGCTCCAAAACGTCGACAAATTTAAGAACGGAGGGAGTAATATCTAAATGAATGTGGGCGACATAGATTCATTAACATTTAAATGAATGTGGACAATGCTAGAAAGTCTTACATCGTAAAACGGAGAGAGTATTAGATGTAGACTAATAATAAAACAAATTATAGATTCTGTCTGTAAACTGCGGGACAAATCTATTAAACCTAATTAATCCGTCATTAGCAAATGTTTACTGTAGCACCATATTGTCAAATCATGGTGTAATTAGGCTCAAAAGATTCATCTTATAATTTACATACAAATTGTGTAATTGGTTTTCTTCTCGTCCACATTTAATGCTCTATGCATGTGTCCAAACATTTGATGTAACGGAAAAGTTAGAAGTTTGAAGGGAACTAAACACAGCCAATAAACACAGCCAATAATGACAGGGCATGAGAACCATCAAAAAATCGTCTCAACCATTACCAAAAATTAATATTTTCTCTTAGAAACGGAATAACCTCCCTTAACTCAAAAACGAAGAAACAATTATTATTATCTCTTTTTTTAATCATCATAATAAATAGTACAATACATGCACCCAATAGAATTAGAGATTTAGAGAGTGAAATAGTTAGAAAAAACTACTAGTAATTTTCATGCATGCATGCCTTATATTATGAAACATCTAAGAAAAATAGTTGTGCCTTACATCTTGAAATAGAGGGAGTATTAAATATCAGAGAGCCGAAAACTGAGACTCGGTATCGAGATCAAAAACTGGTAATAAATATCGAAAATGTCATACTATAAAATTTCTCACATTTAACTTTACATAACTATATAATATAACAAAATAAATTTAAAGTTACACTATTTAAATTATGAATTATTTTTATTTTAACCTTGTATTCAAATTAGATATTTAGTTGAGGAGTTGATAGACCTCTAAACTATGAACCAAACCAAAAATGAACCAAAAAGTTTTTGCCATATTAAAAAAATATGGTAATTATCATAATATAGAATGGTAACTACCGTAAGAATATGGTACGATTTTGAAAACGTCGGTGTGCAACAATATTATTTTTATTTTCATTTCAATTTCCATAAATTTACTATTTTTACCAATAACCATATTTCCATTATTTCCATATTGCTCGATCAACAGTAAAAATAAAAATGAACTATTTCCGTGAGCCTTTTTACTCTAGGAATAACTGCGGCTTGTTTGACAACTTTAGAAAAGAGGAACATAAGTTTAGATAAAAAAAATTGATGATGAGATTAATATGAAAATTTGATTTTTTTAGTCCAATCTCTTAGTAGTATTTGGTAGAGATGGTAGGAATCGATAAGGAGTTCAACTGGAGATTAAATCTTATGAAAACGGATGTTCAAGATTTGTTTAGGTAAAATAAAGGAGGAATTCCCTCCAATTACTGTTGAGATTATGGGCATATAATGATTTAATTTATTCCATAAATAAATCATGACATTACAGATGAAAACTAGCATGAACGCATCATTAGATCTACACATGTAAACTACGCAGAATAACATGAACAGATCAAATATGCGCAACATATTGAACACGTACCGAGGTGACGAAAAGACCGGCTGCTTGGTCGAAACTTTTCGCAGGTGTCTACGAAGGCACGAAACACGCGAGCGAAGAGGAAGGCGAGCCGTCGCGAACGAACAGGGAGCAGTCGCGCGAAGCGCTTCCCAAAAACCTTATTGCCGCCTTCTCCCGGTGCAGGACGTCAAAGGCAGAGGTTCCGGAGACCTGCTCTCCCGATCGCTGGTGCATGCCGACGAGCGGGATGGAGTAGTCTACGAGCGACGGCGCAGTACAGAGTAGGAGGCAAACCCTAGATTGATTTTCGCATATATTGCATGAAGACGGCGGGTCGGTTTATATAGAGAAGGGTCGCTTGATCAGGGCGCCCGCACGATCTCTACTGCGCGTAACCGAACCGGATAAGTCGCGCGTAACTTATCCGGACTCCACGCCGTTTGCACGCACCGGATTTTTCGGAACGTTTCCAAAACAAAAACGAATCCGAATTTGCAGCAAAACAAAACTGCAAAAGGAGGCTGCATCTGTGCAAGGGTGAGGAGCCAATTTTTCGGACCATTCGACGCGTACGTCGTGCTTCGACGCGTACGTCGTGCACGCGCGCCGCCTGCCCTGCCAGGCCAGGCGAGGCGAGCGAGCGCGCGCGTGTGTTTCCCCTCTTCTCTCCACCACACATGCTTCAAGTGGCTAGGAGGGCATCCTCCCTTTTAAGGAAGTCCCCCTCTCCTAGAATAAGCAAGGTGGTACTAAACTCCACATGCATGCCATCCCATGAGGTGGGCTTTTGTGATTTTCCAAAGAATTAATCTTCGAGTGGGCTAAGGCCCATTCATTAATTCCAACAATCCCCCACCAAATCTCAAAATCCCACTGAGATTTGCCTTTTCCAATGTACTGTTTATATACCAGCGGTTCGATGGAGACCAATTAAGGTTGAACATCCACCTAGAACTCCAAGCTACACTTACTCACAACTTGAACAATGGACTACGCCTTGAATTGCAAGTCTTGTGCAAGCAAGTTTCACTCAAAGTCTTATCTGGTACTAGACCGTCTGTAGACTACCCCTCGGGTGGAGCGTATAAGTCATACTCCTAGGTCTTTAGTAAGCTTCCTAGAAGATTCACCCAAAATCTTCATAGACTGCGACCAACAGTCAAGCTCACAAAGGTGAGTTCCTTCAAGAATGCTCTGCAGGACAACATCTTTGCTAATTAAAGCCAACAGAACTCATTAAGGCATAGCCAACCTGCCTTGCAGCTCACGAGAGTATATGCATCTTCACTTGGATAGGGTATATATATTGGTACTCTCCTCTAGTTTATTAATGGTTTGTTCTTCCCAGGATCTAATTCACGGGATCTCCGATCACATAGACTGGGTTACCACCATAGTATAACTCACATGGGTCTTAAACCCATCTCCTTCGATGCATTGTCTATCACATTTCGTGATAGTCCCTTTGTGAAGGGATCTGCCAGGTTTCTCGCTGTTTGGATGTAATCCAACGTTATAACTCCGGAGTTTCTTAATTTCCTGACAGACTTCAATCGTCTTTTCACATGTCTAGACGATTTCATATTATCCTTAGAACTATTCACTTTGACAATTACCGTTTGATTGTCACAGTTCATAAGGATAGCCGGCACCGGTTTTTCAACAACAGGCAGATCCATTAATAGATCACGCAGCCATTCTGCCTCAACAGTAGCAGTATCCAGTGCCGTTAGCTCTGCTTCCATGGTTGACCTCGTCAAAATTGTCTGTTTGCAAGACCTCCATGAAACAGCACCACCACCCAGTGTGAAAACATATCCACTAGTGGCTTTGATCTCATCCACATCAGAGATCCAGTTAGAATCACTATAACCCTCCAGTACCGCAGGATACCCAGTATAGTGAAGCCCCAATTCCACAGTACCTTTCAGATAGCGCATTACTCGCTCAAGCGCACGCCAGTGATCATCTCCCGGATTAGAAGTAAATCGGCTCAACTTGCTCACAGCAAAGGAGATATCAGGCCTAGTTGCACTAGCCAGGTACATCAACGAGCCAATGATTTGGGAGTATTCCAGTTGATTCCTAGCAATTCTCTTGTTCTTGCGAAGCAACAAGCTAGGATCATAAGGTGTTGGAGAAGGCTTACTATCAATGTAGCCAAAGCGATTCAAGATCTTCTCCACATAATGGGACTGCAAGAGAGTAATCCCATTCTCACCTCTAATTAGCTTAATGTTTAAGATAACATCAGCTACTCCCAAATCTTTCATATCAAAATTTTGAGACAAGAATGATTTAACCTCATTTATCACCTCAAGGTTTGTCCCAAATATCAGTATGTCGTCAACATACAAGCACAAAATAACTCCCTCACCCCCACCATGGCGATAGTACACACATTTATCTGCCTCATTGACTGCAAAGCCTGCAGATGTCAATGTTTTGTCAAATTTCTCATGCCATTGCTTAGGAGCTTGTTTCAGACCATACAAAGACTTCAACAATTTGCACACTTTGCCTTCTTGACCTTCAACTACAAACCCATCAGGTTGATCCATATAGATCTCCTCATCCAGCTCTCCATTAAGAAAAGCTGTCTTAACGTCCATTTGATGAACGAGAAGACCATGTGAGGCTGCTAGGGAAAGTAGCACACGAATTGTGGTCAATCTAGCAACAGGTGAGTAAGTGTCAAAGAAATCTTCGCCTTCTTTCTGAGTATAGCCCTTAGCAACAAGCCGAGCCTTGTACTTTTCAATAGTACCGTCAGGCCTAAGCTTCTTCTTGAACACCCACTTGCACCCCACAGGTTTACACCCATAGGGTCGCTCTGTCACCTCCCAAGTCCCGTTAGCGATAATGGAATCCATTTCACTACGGACAGCCTCCTTCCAGTAGTCTGCATCAGGAGATGCATATGCTTCTGAAATTGACTTAGGAGTGTCATCCACGAGGTACACAGTGAAGTCATCACCAAAAGACTTAGCCGTCCTTTGTCTCTTACTCCTTCGAGGAGCTTCACTGACATCCTCCTCAGAGACAAGTTCATGTGTATGTTCAGTTTGTTCTGGTGGTGTGATTGAACTGGGAATTATTTCAGAGGGTTGGTTCGAACCACTATGTGTATCCTTCATTGGGAAAAAGCTCTCAAAAAAGGTAGCATCACGAGACTCCATAATTGTACCAACATGCATGTCCGGTACCTCGGATTTAACTATTAAAAATCTATAGGCAATGCTATGATGAGCATATCCCAGAAAAACACAGTCCACAGTCTTAGGTCCAAGTTTGCGCTTCTTCGTTATTGGTACATTGACTTTCGCCAAGCACCCCCATGTGCGCAAATAAGAAAGTAATGGTTTTCTACCAATCCATATCTCATATGGTGTTTTGTCCTTATTTCTGTTAGGAACTCTGTTTAACACATGATTTGAGGTCAACAATGCCTCCCCCCACCATGCCTTAGGCAGTCCCGCGGTGTCCAACATGGCATTCACCAAGTCAGTCAGTGTGCGGTTCTTCCTTTCAGCAATCCCATTAGACTCGGGAGAATAGGGAGGCGTCCTCTCATGTATGATGCCATGTTCCTCACAGAATAAGTCAAACTCGTTCGAGAAAAACTCTCCACCACGATCAGACCTAAGCCTTTTTATCTTTCTGTCAAGTTGATTTTCAACTTCTGCCTTATAAATTTTAAAATAGTCTAGAGCCTCGTCTTTCGTTTTCAACAAGTACACATAACAAAATCTAGTAGCATCATCAATCAATGTCATGAAATATCGTTTTCCACCCTTCGTCAACACCCCATTCATTTCACAAAGATCTGAATGTAGGAGTTCTAGTGGTGCCAAGTTTCTCTCCTCGGCAGCCTTGTGAGGCTTGCGAGGTTGCTTCGATTGCACACAACTATGGCACTTAGAACCTTTGACAATGGAAAACTTAGGAATTAAACACATGCTGGAAAGCCGAGACATCAAGCCAAAATTAATATGACATAAACGTGAATGCCAAACATTAGCCTCATCATCCACACTGCCACAAATATGGTTCACAGACTTATTGCAGAAATCAGAAAGGGAAAAGCGGAACAGGCCTCCGCACTCATAACCTTTACCAATAAAATATCCATGTTTAGACACGACTACTTTATTAGACTCAAAAACCAACTTAAATCCGTCTCTAGTCAGACGGGAGCCACTAACAAGATTCCTGTCGATAGAAGGGACATGCTGCACGTTCTTCAGCTGCACGATCTTTCCCGAAGTAAACTTCAGATCTACCGTGCCAACACCATGAACAGAAGCATGTGACCCATTCCCCATTAGGACGGTGGAACCCCGTGCGACCTGATAAGAAGAAAACAATGAGATGTCAGCACAAACATGTACATTGGCCCTAGTATCAACCCACCAATTAGTAGATTGATTAACTGAAAAAACAGTAGGTAAATTACCATACCCGCTTCCATCTCCAGTGTTGCCAATGGTCACATTAGCAGACTTAGAAGTCTGCCCTGCAGGTGCCTTCATCCCCTTGCGTTGTGGACACTTCCTAGCCAGATGACCAACTTGGCCACACACAAAGCAAGTCCTCTCATCCTGATTAGGATTGTTGTTGTTCTTCTTCTGCTTCTTGAAGTTGGTGGTCTGCTGAGCTTTGTATTTCCCCTTGCTCTTGTTCTGGGCCTTGTGCACAACATTGGCACTGGACTGCCCACCATCGCCCTTAGACGCGGCATCTTTTTCCCGAGCTTTCTCCTCAACATCAAGAGACGCAATCAACCCCTCAACGGAGTATTCCTGTCTCTTGTGTTTGAGTGCAGTACCGAAACTCCTCCAAGATGGAGGTAGTTTTGCAATAATGCACCCGGCCACAAATTTGTCGGGTAAGACACACTTAAGGAGTTCGAGTTCCTTAGCCATGGTTTGTATCTCATGAGCCTGTTCGACTACAGAACGGTTGTCAGCCATTTTGTAGTCATGAAACTGCTCCATGATATACAGATCATTGCTAGCATCAGTAGCACCGAATTTAGTATTCAGTGCATCCCACAACTCCTTAGCGTCGGTCATATGCATATACACCTCGACCAGACGATCGCCAAGAACGCTAAGAATGCATCCCACAAAGAGAGTAGTGGCTTCCTCGAATTGCTTCTGCTGTTCAGCAGTAAGAACTCCTTCAGGTTTGCCAGTACTCACCCAGAAGCATTTCATAGCTGTCAGCCACAGAGTGACCCTGATCTGCCATCTCTTAAAATGCACACCGGTGAATTTATCCGGCCTCAGTGCATCGGCAAAACCAGCCATAGTAAAATCACAGTGCCTATAATAAGGTTTTTGGATTGTTGAGATTATGGGCATATAATGATTTAATTTATTCCATAAATAAATCATGACATTACAGATGAAAACTAGCATGAACGCATCATTAGATCTACACATGTAAACTACGCAGAATAACATGAACAGATCAAATATGCGCAACATATTGAACACGTACCGAGGTGACGAAAAGACCGGCTGCTTGGTCGAAACTTTTCGCAGGTGTCTACGAAGGCACGAAACACGCGAGCGAAGAGGAAGGCGAGCCGTCGCGAACGAACAGGGAGCAGTCGCGCGAAGCGCTTCCCAAAAACCTTATTGCCGCCTTCTCCCGGTGCAGGACGTCAAAGGCAGAGGTTCCGGAGACCTGCTCTCCCGATCGCTGGTGCACGCCGGCGAGCGGGATGGAGTAGTCTACGAGCGACGGCGCAGTACAGAGTAGGAGGCAAACCCTAGATTGATTTTCGCATATATTGCGTGAAGACGGCGGGTCGGTTTATATAGAGAAGGGTCGCTTGATCAGGGCGCCCGCACGATCTCTACTGCGCGTAACCGAACCGGATAAGTCGTGCGTAACTTATCCGGACTCCACGCCGTTTGCACGCACCGGATTTTTCGGAACGTTTCCAAAACAAAAACGAATCCGAATTTGCAGCAAAACAAAACTGCAAAAGGAGGCTGCATCTGCGCAAGGGTGAGGAGCCAATTTTTCGGACCATTCGACGCGTACGTCGTGCACGCGCGCCGCCTGCCCTGCCAGGCCAGGCGAGGCAAGCGAGCGCGCGCGTGTGTTTCCCCTCTTCTCTCCACCACACATGCTTCAAGTGGCTAGGAGGGCATCCTCCCTTTTAAGGAAGTCCCCCTCTCCTAGAATAAGCAAGGTGGTACTAAACTCCACATGCATGCCATCCCATGAGGTGGGCTTTTGTGATTTTCCAAAGAATTAATCTTCGAGTGGGCTAAGGCCAATTCATTAATTCCAACAATTACCACTCCCTACCTAGGTATTACAAGAGTTCCTCCCTTAATTCCGCATCTCTATCTCACTCAAATGTCTCCCATCCAAACAAAATAGTTTTTATTTTAAAAAAATAAATCAAACAGAATAGTTAATAGCCTCACTCTTTTGGAGTCACAAATCCCAATCATCAGCTAATAATACCTTTACTCATACCTTTTTTTGTTTTGAATTTTTTTTCTGCCTCCTTGGTATGGGCGACCTATTTCGGTCACTCCGATGTTCATGGATGGTTCTGCGTTGCCTAGCCCCTCCTAAAAACTACACCCAACCAAACAGACCCTAAAAATTAATGGAAAATTAAAACCATGCCATTATAATTTTGTAAAATTTGAGATATGTCATCCTGACCCACATGTCATTGACTCATGTAGGTCCTACATGTTATTGAAAAACCGATGGCATATCTCAAACTTTGCAAAATTATAATGGCATGGTTCCAAATTACCCAAAAATTAACGTGCACTTACGGTAGGGCGTTAGGGTGCATCTTGGCCGTCCAAGTTGAATCTAACGTCTGGGATTGCTGGCCAGTTGCTTCAACTTTCCTGTCTCTGATTGATTCCTGAAATACATTGGAGATCAAGCACAACATCATCCACTACGAACAGCATGAAGCGGCGGCCGTTGAGCTGAGAAAATATACTGAAAAGTTTTTTCATGGTTGTTTCGAGCGTAATGCCTAACTGATAATGCACTGAATGTCAATTGTCCATCCCAGACGTTAGCTTTTTACTGCTCCAACTTTCTTCTTTATATAACACCAAATGTTAGTCCCTTCAATCAAGATTTGCTTATGGGCGTAGACACAGATTTGGAGATGTTTATATCGTGCGAAGCATAAATTACTATAATGATATTACCAAAGCCGAATCTCGCAGTACAATAATATGAGAGAACAATCATGCCAAAACCGAATCTCAACTCGCTGTAAACATGAAAAGAAAAAAAGAGAAGATTTACTAGTTCACCCATGTTACGAATTACTAGTACTCCTTGATGCACAACTGATAAATGACACGGCAAGTACTGACATGTCCTGAACACAAGAAAATAGACAACTCGGTGCCGCTAGAATAAAACTGGCATCAGCAGAGACATTCCATTGGCATAATTTAATTTTCTTTTGTCCGGAACTAGTGACAGTGCATTAGGAGTTCATTCAGCAAAAGACAAAAAACACATACTGCAATATCATAACTAGATGCATCCAACTTCCAATTCTCTGAGCCAACAAAGATAGGGCATGTTCTAATTCAAAACTGCAAACAAACTGTAGCCAACTCAACCACCAAACATGACAGGCATTAAGGGTTGAGGATCAATGGATCTGTTCAGGCGATGGTAACATCAACTCTTCCGGCCACTTGGTCCAGATCACGCCTTCCCTGGGAGGTGATGAGTCTTCCACTGCAGTTGATCAGCACAACACATAGATTAGCACACAATCATCATTACAACATAAGATACGCCAAGAAAGCACTTGAAAATTACCCCTTCGGGTCGACATCAATGATGCCCATCTTCTGCAGCTGCTGAAGGATGTTGCGTGAGATAGCGCCGCTGCTCTTGCAGAAGTGCGGGGGGCGTGAGCCGTTCCTCTGGCGGCCACCATAGATCTTCTGGAAGCCACCTACACCAATACCCTGCCTCAGGTAGATCTTCCTTGCAATCGAGGCTACAGAAAACAAGCAACAAAGTCACAATCATATTAACAGTGTTATGCTCAGATCCCTCGCTGTGATTCCTTAAAAGAAAGTGCGACAGCCAGGCATTCATGTTGACAAAGGAACATGAATGCTGTAAAAGAAAAGGATACTCACCAGCCCTCGTGTAGTACCAGTCCGGATCATAAGGAGGGAGCTCCTTGAACCTCGCAGTCTTCACGATGTCAACCCACTCAGGGAGCTCCATCTAAAAGAGAATTTTAATTGTCAAAACTTAGAACAAAGAACATACACAAAGGCCAATTGATGTAAATGGTTTCCGATCGTAGTTGTAATTTGACGGTAATATAATTACAAAGCTTTATTTCTTTTATAGCATCAAGAGTGCCAACTAAAGTCCACAGCACAGTGCAACAAAGAATATATTTAACATGAAACTAAACAGAATAGATAATCACGGAATTTGTGACCAGCGTGAATATTCCACAACAAGCGGTATGCAAGGACTTCATGCAGCAGTAGTCAAATATCATCACATTACATTTCTTATGACTTAACGTGAAACATTTTTATGCATGCTTAACCAACAATAAACCACATCTTGACAATAAAGAGTATTTAGCTCAACACAAAAGAACAAGTAAAACACAGGACGACCTGGTAAAAAGATATTCGAAGGTTGCCTAACAACAGGAGCTCCTGGCTGGCTACAAACAACTGTCCAAATTAGAGTCGAGATCTCAATCACATAACCTAATCACGAAAAATCAACATACTGCAACGCCGCATCAACATCAACGTAAACGAAATGAAGGACACAACTACACTAAGCAACGGCGCATCCAACATCAACGTAACGAACAGATCGGATGCTTGTCCCTAAGCTAAGCCGCAGCAGCAAAAGGAAACCGTGATTGCATCCGCACAAGGCTTAGCAACACCGAATCTCCATAGAGGCGGGGGCGACCACATCCCATCCATGATATACCAAGAACTCGGATCTGCGTGGAAAGCGCAAGGTAAGGGCCTGGATGATTGGTTGGTCGGTTGCTTACCTTGCCGGAGCGCTTGAGGTGGGCGGAGTAGGCCTTGACGAACTCATGAGGGTTCACGTCCTTCACCGTCCTCGCCGTCGAATCCGCCATCCCGCCGCCGCCGTGGGGGGCAGGAGAGGAGAGTGAGGGTGCGGCTGCTTGAGGGGCTAGGTTTTTGGGGAGGAGCGGGTGGGAGCGGATTTATACAGCGGCGGGTTTGGTTGCGGGGCGTCGGATGGTAGATGGACGGCTGATATGGCCTGGGCGGTGGGTCTAGGGTTCGCGGATGGTTTGGTTTGGGCTGGAGGCGGTGTACGTGGGCTGAGTTGGGCTCCTCATGACTCGTTTGGTATTAACAATACGTCCACTTTAGGTCCCCTCAATTTATCGCCGACTCTGAAATTCGCCTGTGAACCGTTATTGACCGTCCCTCGACTCTTAAAACCAGTGAAAATAAGATATCAAGATGGTTTGAACAGCATTTTTACCGACATGACACTTAAAGTCACAGAAAATCGTGGGACCTACGTAATACTGAGTATTCGGTTAAAAATAAAAAATTATAGTGTGAATCACATCATCACCCCACTCTCTTTCCCCTTATTCTCTCCCTTACTCCTCTCTTTCCCTTTCAACATCGTCGTCATCTAAGGCGGCTCTTGTTGTACACAAGATGGTTGGGACGGGGGCAGCAGCGGCAACATCTTAGACAATGGTGTAGTCAGAGGCGGCTGCAACAATAGTGCGGCCACCAACGGGGTGGACTAGTCGGTTTGTGGCTAATCTAGGCTGGGAAGGGAGAGGGAGAGGGAGAGCAAGGTCATCAGAGGAGCAGGAGGCGCTGCAGTGGCGGAGGAGAAGGAACAACGACCCCGCGGGCCCTTGTGATCAAGTGGTAGACATGATGAGGAGGGAGATGGTGGTGTGGTGGCGAGGACGACATGTTGGAGGGGAAGCTGTGGTGGCTGGAGTCGCTAAGGTCGGAGCCAGAGGGGCTGCCAAGGGCATTGGTGGCAGATAACGAAAAGGTGGTCGTTGCTGCTTGTTTGCTTGAGCGGGCGGCCCAGAAGCAAGTCGTCGGCAGTGGCGGAATCGTTGTCTAGCGGCGCGAGGAGTGCATCGGATGAGGTGTGGTACTTGCACTTGAGGGTGGAGTTATGGTGGTTCTTGATGGCATTGTTGGTGCGGATGACGAGGAGCCTAACGATGGTGGCCCACTTGTTTGCCGAAGCAAGCGTGGGCGAGGAGGATGGTATCATCCTCCTCGGGCATGATGGGGTGGTGCTCTACCCACAGTGACAACTGGTTGCACACCAGAGGCGCCACGACTTGCTGGACCTCCCCGGGATGGACTTCTAATGAGCGACCAGTCGCGCGCCTTCTGCTTCACCACCTGCCGCTGCAGCACCTCGTCCTTCCTTGGGTTCCATCATGATGATGAAAGGGAGAGAAAGAAGGAAGGGAGTGAAGAAGGGAAAGAGAGGGTCATGATGTGGGTCCCACCGAACTCACTGACATGTGGGTCCCATCTAACTTTAAGTGCCACGTCAGTCGAAAACGTCATCCAAACAGTCTTGGGATCTTATTTGCACTGATTGGGAGTTGAGGTATGCGTTATATCTGGTATTGCGGTTTAGGATGAATTTCAGACTTGACGACATAGTGACAGATATAACATGTCTGCAATAAGTTCACTTTAGGTTCCTTATAGACTTCAAATTGTATCCTTGAACTGCAATACTAGATGTAACATGTCTCTCAACTTATAATATCGGAGTACCCGAGATCCCAGAGTAGCATTATGTCTAATTTTGGCTGATATGATGAGTTGACTGCAGTCAACTCGACAAGTCATTGTGGGACCTACATGGACCCTACATGTCAATCACATGAAAAATATAAAAAGAAGAATAGAAAATCCATGAAATGCCATTGACAAACACCCTAATCGAAGAAATGCCATCGACGAACGCGACTTCCAGGAAATGCCATCGTACGAGCCATTTTGTCCCAAAAATTCCATCGCCGTTACTTTCACCCTGTTAGACACCATTAATTTTGTCAAAATGACCAAATTACCCTCCTCAACAAAGGATAAATCCCCTTCTCTTCCATCCCATCGCCGGCCACTATTCCTCCCCTCTACTTCAACCGCCAGCTCCTGATGGGCAACAACGGCAAGGCGGCACTCCCAGGCGGTGGCGCGGGGCTCCCAGGCGGCGGCACGGTGGTCCCAACCGGCGGTGCGTCGGTAGCAGGCGCGGGGCTCCCAAGCGACGGCGCGTCGGCCGCAGGCGCGGCTGTCCCAGGCGGCGACGCGACGGGTGGCGAGGAGGCGGCAGGAGGCGGCGCGTTGGTCCCAGGTGGCGGCGCGGGGCTCCTAGGCGGCGGCGCGTCGGTAGCAGGCGTCCGCGCGGAGGTCCCAGGCATTGACGCGACGGGCGCCGAGGAGGTGGCAGGCGGCGGTGGCGCATCGGCCGCAGGCGCGACAGTCCCAGGCGACGGCGCGTTGGCAGCAGGCGTCCGCACAACAGTCCCAGGCACTGACGCATTGGGGGAGGTTGGCCGGCGATGGTGAAGCTACTCTTCTTCTGTTGCGGCGCGGCGGCCGCCGCCGTGCCGGGCCACTTTGCGAGCACGCAGCGACGGCGCGTTAGCAGCAGGCGTCTGCACGATAGTCCCAGGCACCGACGCATTGGGGGAGGTTGTCCGGTGATGGCGAAGCTGCTCTTCTTCTGTTGCGGCGCGGCGGCCGCCGCCTTGCCGGGCCACTTTGCGAGCACGCGGCGGCAGCCTTCGACGCCGCGTACGACGACGTCGTGGGCGCGTAACGTGGGTTCATGCGGTCGCGGACGCGTGTGTTCCTCGTCATCCACCGCGCCCCGCTCGAGCCGCGCGTCCGCTGCCCCTACTGCGGCGCCCGCGTCTGGAGCATGACCACCGCCGGGCTCGCCCGCCTCTCCTCCTCTTCCTCCAGCGACGGCGAGCGAAGCACCGACTCTGACTCCAACCACAGCGACGACGAGACATTCGCCACCGCCGATGTGAGCCTCCCACTTCCTCTGGCTGGCCGCGTGTCAGGCCGGCGCCTTCGAGACAGACCGCCCATGTGACGCATCAAGCATTAGCGGTAGTTTTTTTTGTTTTACCGGTGGATTGGGATAGTATTATTTGGAGTGAGGGCAATTTAGTCATTCTTGTAAAATATTTTGTTCTAACAGTGTGGACTAATAGTGTGATGGCATTTCTGAGAGAAATAGCCTTGTATGATGGCATTTTCAGGAAGTTGCGCTTGTCGATGGTATTTTTGGGATTAAGGTGGTTATCGATAGCATTTTATAGATTTTCTCAAAGAAGAAACCTTCTCTACTCCCTCTGTCTCCTCACATCTCTACTCCTTGCTCTGTAGCCACCACATCTTGGATGAATCCGTCGTCCCTATAATTGCTCGCCGCCATCGTTCCTGTTCGCCGCCCGTTGTCCTTCCAATATGGAGATATTTAACTATTTGCCACTTTTAGATTTGGCATTTAACTATTTGCCACCCATATGTCTATGACACGTGGGTCTACATGTATCTATGACATGTGGATCCAGTGGCAAATAGTTAATTGCCACATCTAAAAGTGGCAAACAGTAGAATGCCCTGAGAGAGATGGGGAAGAGAGTGGAGAAAGGGAGGGAGAGGAGGAAAAAGACTGGACTGTTGACATGTGGGGCCCACGTGGGTTCCTCACTGATTTAGCTGGGTTGAGCACAATCGACTTGCCACTTCAGCTGAAATATGATGCAATACTGCCATAGAGCTTAGGTACTCTGGGGTTATAAGTTAATGGGTATGGTATTGTGATGTAAGGAAGAATATGATTTAAACTCCTGTACCTAAAAGTTAACTTATTGAGAAACCTTTAGAACTCATATGAGACGGAAAATGTACTCCTCTACATTTTGGCACGTTTGGCATAGCTCCAGCTCGGCGCGGGCCAGCCCAGCTTGCCCGCAAGGCCGCCCCGCAAAAAATCCCGCAAGGCCGCCCCGCGAGAAGGCCGCATAGCTAGATGGGCTGGATTGACCCGCGTCCGCGTGGCCGCCAGTAGCCCACTAACTCCGCGTCCGTATGTTCCCAACCCTAGTTCGGCGTTTCCACATGCGAGATCGAGCCTGGAGCGGCTCGCCATCTCTGCCGCCGGTCCGCCGCCTCGCTCGCTCGCTCGCCGTCCGCCGCCTCGCTCGCTCGCTCGCCGTCCGCCGCCGCCGCCTTGCTCAGTTGCTCGTCGTCCTCCGCCGCCGCGGCGCCAGCACGCCTCGTCCTTCCCCTCTCTCGGCTCAGGTGAGTTCTTGCCTCTTCATTTTTTTTCTTGTTTAAGCACTGGAGTCGATTGGGAAAGAACGCCGTGGGTGGCAGATGAGGCATAATCAAACTAGCAATGCCTCATCGATTAGTAGCATGTCTCGTCCAATCCACTTCCATGTTTTTGGTTTGATTTCTCATGGATATTATCTCGTCGATTAGTAGTACTTACTTTGCTTTGATGTTCTTTGACTTCCTGTACTTCTGGGACTGAAGTGAGGACAAGAAGAAGAGGCCAAACATGAGATTTCATAACCAACGAAAAAACACACACAAAATGGCCATCTTTATTTGGTTACAATGAACTATTTATCTCTCTTTCTCATGGGTTTTAGGACGGTTAATACAGAAAAAATATGTGTGCTATTTAGTTATGTTGTGAGTTTAAACTCAGCTTGATTTTCTGTTTTAGATTATGTCCAGTGGAGTCCCTACTTGGTTTTATCTGGGTTGTGAGCTACAGTTTTAGCACCATGAGACATGAGTTATGTCATAGTACTTAGTTTCAGCCTTTCAGGTGTGTTTTAAAATTCTGTCCATCTTGTTCTACATGCAGTACTTTGGTTTTCTCCCATGTCGACATCATTAGCTGAAGCTTCGCAAGGAGGATATATCAAAGAGGTCATTGCAGAGGGCTCTTCGGGAGGCTTATCATCATCAACACAATTGTTGTCTGCAAAACGAAAGTTAGCAGCATCGAATCCTTCGACAGCGAAGCGAAGACGATCACCTATTGTATTGCCAATAGTCAGGTCTCCAGGAGTGCGCCAAATTATTTCTCAAAATGCTCTCATCATGGAGAGATCACAAGTTCCTGGTCATATGTCCCCAAGTGCAGAGTCTCCAAGAGCTAGATCTCTGTCTCCAGTGGCAAGGTTCGTATCAAGTCCGTCTACTATCCTTGAGCTGGATGTTGAAAATCAGCCAAGGGAATCAAGTCAACCAACACCTCATGTTGTGACTCATCGTTCTGGTTAGCACCTAATACATTTGTTCTAAAGGACTGGAAATTTGATCCTGATGTAGCACGTGCAGAACTTTTAAGGATGATTGTTTTGCAAGAACTTCCTTCCAGCTTTGTTGAACACCTTGGTTTTAGAAGATTTTGTGCAAGCTTGAACCCGTACTTTAGGGTGGTTTCTAGAACTACTATAAAGGGTGATTGCTTGGCTGCCTATCAAGAACAAAAGTTAGCTTTGCTTGAGGTACTGAGGAAAACAAATTCTCGGGTTTCACTGACGGCTGACATGTGGTCATCTAATCAAAACCTAGGTTACATGTGCATAACTTGTCACTTCATTGACAATGAATGGAATATGCAAAAGAGGATCATAAGATTCACTCAAGTGCGTACCCCACATGATAGTATAGCTCTCTTCAATGAAATTATAAAGTGCATTCAAGATTGGCAGATAGAAAGTAAGTTGTTCAGTATTACAGTAGACAATGCATCTACTAATGATTCTATGGTTGTGGAATTGAAAGGAAATCTCTTGGGTAAACTTGCTATGCCTTGCAAAGGAGAGCTATTTCATTTCTGGTGCGCAGCTCACATCTTTAATCCTATTGTTCAAGATGGATTGAGTACTATCAGTGCTGCCATATCCAGGATAAGGGAAAGTGTGAAGTATGTAAGAGCATCAGAAGCACGGGAGCAAAAATTTGAAGAAATCATTGCACAAGTCGGAATTGTTGAAGAGAAGCGTCCTTCACTTGATGTCTCCACTCGTTGGAATTCCACCTATTTGATGCTTTCCTCATCCTTATTATTCAGGAGGGCTTTTGATTCATTGGATCGGTTTGATCCTAACTTTAAAGATGCTCCACAATTTTTCGATTGGGAGAATGCAGAAGTTCTTTGCAAACATCTCAAGGTCTTCTATGATGCAACTGTTGTGGTTTCCGGGACATCATATCCCACTGTTACTCGCTACTTTCATGAATTTTGGAAAGTGAAGGTGATGATTCTAAATGAGTCCAACAATGAGGATGATCTTGTTGCTAGCTTGGTTTCTAAAATGGATACAAAATTTCAGAAATATTGGGATCTACAGTTCCTGCAGATTTGGGTTCCTGTTATTTTTGATCCCAGATTTAAGTTGAAATTCCTTGAGTTTAGGCTGAAAGCAGGTTTTGGAGATAAGGCAACTGGTCCAAATGGATATCTCCCTAGAATTAAGAGGACAGTCCGTACTTGGTTTGCTGAATATTCTTCACAAATTTGTGGTCCAAGCACAACCAATTCTCAAGAAGCATCAACTAGTGGGGTGAATGTTGGTGGCAGCCAATTTGCTGACTAGAGGCAATATCTTCATGATCAAAGCAAGAGTAAAGTAAAGACTGAGTTAACTAGATATCTCGAAGATATTCCTCAAGAAAATGATTTCCCTGATGATGATTTTGACATACTCTAGTGGTGGAGGGTGAACTCTTGCAAATATCCAATATCATCACGCATGGCACTTGATTTGCTTGCTGTCCCTGCATCCTCAGTTGCATCAGAGTCTGCATTTTCTACTGGATAAAGAATCATTAGCGACTATAGGAGTAGGTTGGCTAGTGGAACTGTGGAGGCATTGGTTTGCCTTCAAGATTGGATGCGAGCCGATGGTATGAAGCCTACTTTAGTTGTGCATTGCTACTTATATTATGGGCCATGAACTTATTTATGTTGAACTTTTGTATTCTGATGTTTTAGGTTTTGGTGATCCATATTCAATTCAAACTGATACGGCTGAGGGCGATGATGTTAATATGCAACTATTGGGTATTCAAATTACTTGATTTTATATTTCTGTATGTCTAATTGAATATGGGTACTATGATGATCTAATAATAATTTACAATTTATTCTACATTTGCTTCTTAAATGAGTTGCTAGATCTGGAAAAAGAGTTGTGTACACATGCTGCATTACCCCCTCACCATGGTCATAAAACTGTAACTGAAAATTGTTTCTGTTCCTTAAATAGTACTACATAATTTTATCTTCATTTCTAGGTAGTTTGGACCTCTCTTTTTGTGGGGGTCAGATTCACTTCTATTCTGTTAGATAGCTTTTAAATTCAATCCAAGATGTTCTGGCACTGGCAATGTAGATTATGTTCCAACTTTTAACCCCTTTTTGTTGTCACTGGGCAGGACATTAAATCATTTGACATCTCAGGCAAATTACCATGTGAGTTCTATGCAATCTGGGTTCTGAGAAATTTTGCTAGTTCTGGAGCAGTGGTAAGTGGAGCTTGCTTTGTTTCCCAGCTCATATCAGTGTTTCCCACACATGTCAGATTACATCCAAAATTTGTACGATGTATTGGAAATTTAGTTGAGCCTGGGATTTCTGGACTTCTTTTCTGCCGTTGAGCCTGAAATTCATATTTGATTTTGCCTGGTGAATTCTGCATGAGTGACAGGAATAGATGCAAGGATTAGGCGGCTTTGTTGCTGTCAGGATATGCATGTCTTTTGAGTCCCTTTTTTTTTCCCCTTTATGCTGTTGTTAAGCTATGAATATTTTGGAAGGGGATTTTTTTAGAACAATTTGATTAAGGATCGGTGGATTTTTATGCCAAATTGTAGACTCTGCTTTTCGCTGCAGTCACTGTCTTTCAGAAGATTTCAGGGCCCAAGATGGTTACTAATATTTACTGATTTTCTGTTTCATCTGAAGATTCACCTCTGCAAGCCTGCATTTTTGCTTATACTGAAGAACTCTGAATCTTCATGCTTGCATACCATATATCGCAATTTTTTTTCCTTTCATCTTGGTTTAATTAGCAGATGTAATTGTTGCCACAGTTGAAGAGAAGGCAGTAATTTTTCTTGCATTGACAGTGACAACTAATGCTGGATACTAAGGCAGTAATTTCTCGTACGAATTGAAGCCCATACGAGAGTGATTACACATGATTTTACACGCATAAACACCACACACACATTTGCGGGACCCGCCTGCAAGCCGCCGGGCAAATGCGGGCGTGCGGACGCGGGCGCAGCCTGCCCGCTCCAGCCGTGCGGGCAATGCGGACGCGGCGCGGGCTGTCCGCAACCGCGCCGTCTGCACCCCTACCGTCTGCCTCCGTGTCCGCTTCCGCGCCGAGGAAATCGAGCTGCCATTGCGGCGTGGCGCGGCAGCGGCATGCGTGGGGAGCGAGCTTCTTGAGCTTCCCCGCAGCTGCGGCGGCGGCGGCGGCAAGGAATCGAGAGACGGAGAAGGCGATGGCGATGCTGACGCCGCCTCGGGCGGCGAGGGGAGGAGGAGGAAGGAGGAGAGCGGCTTCCATTGCTCGCCGCCGGTAGACTGCGCGGAATGCAGCAGGGGTAGTGGATAAGGCGATAATAATGGATATGGCATGAAAACTGTGGAAAAACCGTCTCCACCATTACCAAAAATTAATTAATATTTTCTCTTATAAACGGAATCGAAAACAGTAAAAACCGAAAATAAAAAATGGTATTATATAGAAATATAAAAAACCAAAACAGAAACCCGGCATCGATATCGAAAACTGGTAATAAATATAAAAACATTAACCTATAAAAGTTTACATAAATATATAATATAACTAAACAAATTCAAAGTTGCACTATTTAAATTACGAATTATCTTTCATTGAATCTTGTATTCAAGTTAGGATTTGGTTGAGGAGTTGATAGGCCTCTAAACTATTAATCAAACAAAAAAAAAGAACCAAAAGTTGACATATTTAGAAATACCATAAGAATATGGTACAATTTGAAAACGTCGGTGTGCAACAATATTATTTTCATTTACATTTCCATAATTTTTAACATTTTTATCAGTAAACATTTCCATATTGCTCGATCAATAAAAATAAAAAATGAACTATTTCCATGAGCCTTTTTACTATAGGGATATCGGTGGCTTGTTTGTCAACTTTAGAAAAGAGGATCGGGAGTTTAGATAAGAAATTGATGATGAGATCACCATGAGAATTTAAATTTTAGTCCCAATCTTTTATTTGGTAAAGATGGTAGGAATCGATAAGAAGTTTAGTTGGGAGATTAGATCTTAAATAAAAACAGATGTTTGAGATTTGTTTAGGCAAAGTAAAAAAATGAATTTCCTCTAAATTACCACTCCCTACCAAGTAGTTCCTCTACCAAGTTTCAATTCCTCATCCTCATCCTACTCAAACTTTCTTGTCTCCCAAACAAACATAATATTTTTATTTAAAAAGTAGACTAAACATAATAGCCTCACTCTTCTATGCTCCCAAGCATCAGCTAATAATATCTCTACTCGTACAGTTTTGCTTGTTTTGAATTTTTTTTCGAACCTTCTTGGTACGACGACACTATTTCGGTCACTCCGTTGTTCATGGATCGTTCTGCGTTGCCTAGTCTCTCCTAAAAACTACACCCAAACAAACGGTCCCTAAAAACTACACCCAAACAAACGGACCCTAGAAGATTAACGTGGAGGAGGTGGATCCTCGGCCGTAGAGAAGCACTTACGGGTGGGCGTTAGGGCGCATCTTGACCGTCCAAGTAGAATCTAACGTCTGGGATTGCTGGCCAGTTGTTCGGGTTTTCCTGTCTCTGATTGATTCCTGAAATACATTGGAGATCAAGCACGAGATAATCCGCTACGAACAGCATCAAGCGGCGGCCGTTGAGCTGAGAAAATATACTGAAAAGTTTTTTCATGGTTGTTTCGTGCATAATGCCTAACTGAGGGCTTGTTTAGTTCACAAAATGAAAATTTTAGAGCAGTCATATCAGATGTTTGACCGGATGTCAGAAGGAGTTTTTAACATGAATGAAAAAACTAACAACTAGATTGAAAAACTGTAGCACTTATAACTAATCATAGACTAATTAGATTCAAAAGATTCATCTCGCAATTTCCCTCTTAACTGTACAATTATTTTTTTTAATCTATATTTAATACTTTATGCATATGTCTATATATTTGATGAGATGTTTTTAGGAAAAACTTGTGGGGAACCAATAAATGACACGGCAAGTAATCACTTGTACTCCTCGATGATACGAATTACCAGTACTCCTCGATGCTTAACTGATAAATGACACGGCAAGTAATCACTTGTACTGAACATAAGAAAATAGACAACTCGGTGCCGCTAGAGTAATACTGGCATCAGCAGAGACATTCCATGGGCTTAATTTAATTTTCTTTTGTCCGGAACTAGTGACAGTGCATTAGGAGTTCATTCAGGAAAAGACAAAACACATACTGCAGTATCATACCTAGATGCATCCAACTTCCAATTCTCTGAGCCAGCAAAGATAGGGCATGTTCTAATTCAAAACTGCAAACAAACTATAGCCGACTCAACCAAAGATAGGGCATGTTCTAATTCAAAACTGCAAACAAACTGTAGCCGACTCAACCACCAAACATATGAGAGGCAGTAAGGGTTGAAGATCCATGGATCTGTTCAGGCGATGGTAACATCAACTCTTCCGGCCACTTGGTCCAGATCACGCCTTCCCTGGGAGGTGATGAGTCTTCCGCTGACATAGATTAGCACACGATCATCATTATAACAGAAGATACGCCAAGAAGTAAAGCATGAAGCACTTGTAAATTACCCCTTGGGGTCGACATCGATGATGCCCATCTTCTGCAGCTGCTGAAGGATGTTGCGTGAGATAGCGCCGCTGCTCTTGCAGAAGTGCGGGGGACGTGAGCCATTCCTCTGGCGGCCACCATAGATCTTCTGGAAGCCACCTACACCAATACCCTGCCTCAGGTAGATCTTCCTTGCAATCGAGGCTACAGAAAACAAGCAACAAAGTCACAATCATATTAACAGTGTTATGCTCAGATCCCTCGTTGTGATTCCTTAAAAGAAAGTGAGACGGCCAGGCATTCATGTTGACAAAGGAACATGAATGCTGTAAAAGAAAAGGGTACTCACCAGCCCTCGTGTAGTACCAGTCCGGATCATAAGGAGGGAGCTCCTTGAACCTCGCAGTCTTCACGATGTCAACCCACTCAGGGAGCTCCATCTATAAGAGAATTTTAATTGTCAAAACTTAGAACAAAGAACATACACAAAGGCCAATTGATGTAAATGGTTTCCTATCGTAGTTGTAATTTGACGGTAACATAATTACAAAGCTTTATTTCTTTTATAGCATCAAGAGTGCCAACTAAAGTCCACAGCACAGTGCAACAAAGAATATATTTAACATGAAACTAAACAGAATAGATAATCACGGAATTTGTGACCAGCGTGAATATTCCACAACAAGCGGTACGCAAGGACTTCATGCAGCAGTAGTCAAATATCATCACATTACATTTCTTATGACTTAACGTGAAACATTTTTATGCATGCTTAACCAACAATAAACCACATCTTGACAATAAAGAGTATTTAGCTCAACACAAAAGAACAAGTAAAACACAGGACGACCTGGTAAAAAGATATTCGAAGGTTGCCTAACAACAGGAGCTCCTGGCTGGCTACAAACAACTGTCCAAATTAGAGTCGAGATCTCAATCACATAACCTAATCACGAAAAATCAACATACTGCAACGCCGCATCAACATCAACGTAAACGAAATGAAGGACACAACTACACTAAGCAACGGCGCATCCAACATCAACGTAACGAACAGATCGGATGCTTGTCCCTAAGCTAAGCCGCAGCAGCAAAAGGAAACCGTGATTGCATCCGCACAAGGCTCAACAACACCGAATCTCCATAGGGGCGGGGGCGACCACATCCCATCCATGATCTACCAAGAACTCGGATCTGCGTGGAAAGCGCAAGGTAAGGGCCTGGATGGTTGGTTGGTCGGTTGCTTACCTTGCCGGAGCGCTTGAGGTGGGCGGAGTAGGCCTTGACGAACTCATGAGGGTTCACGTCCTTCACCGTCCTCGCCGTCGAATCCGCCATCCTGCCGCCGCCGCCGCCGCCGCCGCCGTGGGGGGGAGGAGAGGAGAGAGGAGGGAGTGAGGGTGCGGCTGCTTGGGGGGCTAGGGTTTTGGGGAGGAGCGGATGGGAGCGGATTTATACAGCGGCGGGTTTGGTTGCGGGGCGTCGGATGGTAGATGGACGGCTGATATGGCCTGAGCGCGTGGGTCTAGGGTCCGCGGATGGTTTGGTTTGGGCTGGAGGTGGTGTACGTGGGCTGAGTTGGGCTCCTCATGACTCGTTTGGGGATTACCAATAGGAATAAGTTCACTGGAAGTCCCTCAACTTAACAGCGAGATTTTGTTTAGGTCTCTAAACTACAAAAACCAGAAATGTGTACCCTAAACTTATAGAAACAATGCATTCATGGTCCTAGTCAGCAAAAAAATTTAAAAAAAACGTGGGGCCCACATGTCAGCCGCCCTCTGCTCTTTTCCTCTGCTTCTCTTCTCTTTAATCTCTTCTCTCTTATCTTCTTCGGTGAGGGGAGGCCGGCGGCAGGCAGCAGGTGGCGGGTGGCGAGCGGAGCGACGGTGGGCAAGCCCGGCGACAGGCGCCGGGAGCGGAGCGACGGCGGCATGCGAGAGCGGCAGCGGTCGGCGGGTGCTGGGCGGAGCGGTTTGGGAGGGAGAGGGAGGCGGCTGGCGAGCCCGTTCGAGCTCACCCGGCCTGCGCGCGAGCTCGCCCCGCCGTAGATTGGTGTGCTGGTGGAGGTGTGCCGCCGGTGGACGGCATGCGTGGACGACGACGAGGAAAGGGGGAGAGCAACGGCCGACGACAGCGAAGACAGGCGAGCGCGACACTGGGCTGCTCACCCTCGCCGACCAGGCCCCTCGCTCCGCCGCACTCGCTCGCCGCCGTCTGCCCACTGCTGCTCCGCGCTACCGCGCTCGTGGAGGAGGTCGAGCAGCACGATGACGCCGCCGGCGGTGAAGAACTGGAGCATGACGAGCGCCGCCACTCTCGCCCACCGCCCATGTCCAGCTTCGCTCGCCCGTCACTCCGCTGCCGCTCTCGCTCGCCACTCCGCCTGCCACTCTCGCTCGCCGCTCTCCGCGCCGCCCGCCACCCTACCCGCCGCTCCCGTCGTCCCGGCCGCCTCTCTCCCCCTCTCCCGCTTCTTCCATGCACGCTGCCGCGCCTGCATCTGTCTGCCTGCTCCGCGCCGCCCGCCTGCGCGCTCGCTTGCCGCCCGCCACCGGCCTCCCCTCACCAAAGAAGAGAATAGAGAAGAGAGAAAAGAGAATATAAGGAGAGGAAAAGAGGATAGGGCGGCTGACATGTGGGCCTCACTTATTTTTTTTTATTTTTTTTCTGACTAGGATGCCACATCAGCGAAACCACCTATATATACTGCCATAGGACCTTAAGTGTACGGTTTCTGTAAGTTTAGGGGTACACATTTCTGGTTTTATAGTTAAGGGACCTAAAAAAAATCTCGTTGTTAGTTGAGGGATCTTTGGGGAACTTATTCCCCAAACTTATTCCCCAATACGTCCACTTTAGGGCCCCTCAATTTATCGCCGAGTCTAAAATTCGTCTGTGAACCCGTAATACCAACATGACACGTCTCTCAACTCCTAAAACCAGTGCAAATAAGATCCCAAGGTGGTTTGGACAGCGTTTTTAGCTGATGTGGCACTTAAAGTCACATAAAATCGTGGGACCCACATGCTAGTGAGTGTTCGGTTAAAAATAAAAATTTATAGTGTGAATCACATCATCACCCCCTCTCGTCCCCTTATTCTCTCCATTACTCCTCTCTTTCCCTTTCAACATCGTCGTCATCTAAGGTGGCTCTTGTTGTACACAAGATGGTTGGGGCGGGGCAGCAGTGGCAACATCTTAGACAGTGGTGTAGTTGGAGGCGGCTGCAACAGTAGTGCGGCCACCAACGGGGTGGATTGGTCAGTTTGTGGCTGATCTAGGCTAGGAAGAGGGAGGGTGAGCGAGAGCGAGGTCGTTAGAGGAGCAGGAGGCGCTGCAGTGGTGGAGGAGGAGGAATAATGACCCCGCGGGCCCTTGTGATCGAGTGGTAGACGTGATGAGGAGGGAGATGGTGGTGTGGCGGCAAGGACAACATGTGGGAGTAGAAGCTGTGGTGGCTGGAGTCGCTGGGGTCAGAGCTAGAGGGGCTGCCAGGGGCATTGGTGGCGGACAACGACGGGTGGTCGTCGCTGCTTGTTTGCTTGAGCGGGCGGCCCAGAAGCAAGTCGTCGTCATTGACGGAATTGTTGTCTAGCGGTGCGAGGAGTGCATCGGACGAGGTGTGGTACTAGCACTTGAGGGTGGAGTTCCGGTGGTTCTTGATGGCATTGTTGGTGCAGACGACGAGGAGCTTGACGATGGTGGCCCACTTGTTTGCTGAAGCAGGCGTGGGTGTGGAGGATGGTGTCATCCTCCTCGGGCGTGAAGGGGTGGTGCTCTACCCATGGTGACAGCTGGTTGCACCACCGGATGTGCCACGACTTGCCGGACCTCCCCGGGATGGACTTGCTGATGAGCGACCAGTCACATGCCCCCGTGCTTCGCCACTTGCCGCTGCAACGCCTCGTCCTTCTTTGGGCTCCATGACGATGATGAAAGGGAGAGAAAAAGGGAGTGAAGAGGGGAAAGAGGTGGTGATGATGTGGGTCCCACCGAACTCACTGACATGTTGGTCCCATCCAACTTTAAGTGCCACGTCAGCAAAAAAACGTCATCCAAACAGCCTTGGGATCTTATTTGCACTGATTGGGAGTTGAGGGGACACGTCATATCTGGTATTGCGGTTCAGGGATGAATTTCAGACTTGACGACATAGTGACAGATATAACATGTCTGCAATAAGTTCACATAAGGTCCCTTATCTTGACTTCAAGACTTCAAATTGTATCCTTCAACTGCAATACTAGATATAACATGTTTCTCAATTTGTAATATCGGAGTACCCGAGATCCCAGAGTAGCATTGTGTCTAATTTTGGTTGATATGATGAGTTGACTGCAGTCAACTCGGCAAGTTAGTGTGGGACCTACGTGGACCCTACATGTCTATCTCATGAAAAATATAAAAGCAGAAACCTTCTCTACTCCCTCTGCCTCATCACATCTCTACTCCTTGCTCCGTAACCACCAGCCCACCACATCTCTGACGAATCCTCCATCGTTCCTGTCCGCCGCCCATTGTCCTTCCAATATGGAGTTATTTAACTATTTGCCACTTTTAGATTTGGCAATTAACTATTTGGCAAATAGTTAATTGCCAAATCTAAAAGTGGCAAATAGTTAAATGCCCCGAGAGAGATGGGGAAGAGAGGGGAGAAGGGAAGAGAGAGGAGGAAAAAGACTGCCCACTGGGTTCCTCGCTGATTTAGCTGGGTTGAGCACAATCGACTTGCCACATCAGCTGAAATATGATGCAATACTACCATAGAGCTTAGGTACTCCGGTATTATGAGTTAATGGGTTATATCTAGTATTGTGATGTAAAGAAGAACATGATTTAAACTCCTATACCTAAAAGTTAACTTATTGAGAAACATGCACTCCTCTACATTTTGGCATGTTTGGCATAGCTCTAGCTCCACCCAAAAAGAAAGTAGAGCTTATTTGGAGTGCTTTCACGAAATGAATTAAAGATGTGGAGTTGAATTTATGTTGTTAGAGCATCAACAATAGTTATCCTATTTCCTTTCCAAAACTGATTTTGAGGGTTTTTAGTGAAAAAAAATCGGATCCAACAGATCGCAAAATCCTTGCACTAGTTTTGGTGTTCCCATCCCCATGTACTTCGCTATGTGGATTTGAGGGCGAGAGAGCGACTCCCAATCTCTCGTTCGCACGTTTGTCCTCTCCTTGTTTGTTGGGAGCGCGGGTGATCGCGATCTCTTTCTGCGTGCGTGGAAGAAAGAAAAAAGAAAATTTCTGTTGGTAGTTTAACCGAAGGGCCCACTTTTAATTTTTGAGATTGAATTTAGACTGTGTCTCTTAGAGGGAGAAGTTTTTACACTCCCTATTTTCAGTTTAGGAAACCCAAAAATCAAATTTTAGGGATAGATTAGTGCTAATCTGTTGGCATTACCACCGGTCCTCCTATAATCCCAAAAATGTTTTTTGGTTTTCTAAACTGAAAATAGAAAGTGAAAAAACTCTTCAATTATCCTAAAATTGTTTTTGGGTTTTCCTAAACTGAAAATAGAAAGTAAAAAAACTCTTCACTCCAACAGATAGCCTAAATTCAATCCTCAAAATTAAAATTAAAAATGCGCCCTTATGTTAAACTAGCAACATAAATTTCCGTTTTTCCCTCCCGCTCGCACAGAAACAGACCGTTAAACTAGCAACAGAAATTTCCATTTTTCCCTCCCACTCGCGCAGAAACAGATCGCTATCTCCCAAGCGCGATAGCCCACGCGCTCCCTGTCCCGACGTTGCCTTCGTGCGGCAAGGGGAGGAGAGAGGCGTGAGTACGAGATTGGGAGTGCCTGAGAAAACGCATCGAGTGAGGAATCGGGAGAAGGGAGCTTCAAAACTCGAGCAGCAGATTAAAGGATTAGTTAGAGCTGTTTTTTTAATTAAAATCCTTTAAAATCAGTTTTGGTAATTAGGGCCTGTTTGGTACAGCTCCAACTCCTAAATTTAGCTTCAGGAGTTGGGTCTGGAGTGGAGTTGTGGAGCTGCCTAAACCCAGCTCCACAACTCTAGTTCATTTTGTGAGAGAGCTCCACCCAGCTCCACTCCCAGTTTTGGTGGAGCTGAAACTGTTTGGCTGAGCTCCAGCTCCAAGAGAGATGGAGCTGGAGCTGTGCCAATCAGGCTCTAGATGTCACTAAACCCAACTCCTACCATTAATTCAGTAAACCCAACTCCTACCATTAATTCAGGAGTTGGAACCTAAAATTTTTTCCAATCTGCATAGTCCTCTCCTCATCCCTTCTCCTCTTATTTCCTTTCTTTTATTTATGAGAAGATAGATTTCCAGAGGGGGACGCTTCAACTTGGAAACCTTGAATTTTATTTACCGACTTGCCGAGCAGCAGCAGCAGCGAAACCCTCCTCTTTGCAAAGCCCCCATTGCCGCCATGCCGCCGCCGTACAGTCATATCAAGGTGCCGCAGCGCTGTTGCGATCTTCCCCGCGACCCCTTCTTCTCGCGCAGATTGGATTCTCCGCACCAGCGCAAAATCCATTGGGGATTCGGATTCTTGACCACTTGTTGGGTTTGTTGGTCTGATTAGGTGGTAAGGGAAGAGGATTTCCGCTCGCGTATTGGGGAAGATGGCCACTACTTCGATCTCATCGACTTCAGCGCAATCGAGGGATTCAACGTCCCGCCTACCATGACCATCCTCCGATTCAAGGTAGTGAATCCCATAAGATGGGTGTGCTGCTTCTTCTAATGAGTTGCTTACTACTGTAGTAGTTGTACTCTTAGTCCTTTCACATATTGTTGTGGAATGTATAGAGGAATCTGACAAACATTAGAAGATGACTATTCGGAAAATTATGTCAAGAATAAATGGTCTGGGATGGATTTGGCACCATCCTGGCATCCTATATCCTATATAGGAAAATAAGGACTAATTTGTTTTGATTGTTCAGTTTTTTTTTTGGAACAGAGTCAGGGAAAAAAATGTTTTTTGAACAGATTCAGAAGAAAAAAAAATGATAATGAGCATTAAGGAAATGGATCGCTTGACTTGACATTTTATATCTTATGGGAACCAATGCACAACTTAGAAAGTTCGTAGTCATTGTCATGACGAGTATTTATCCTGGAAACCATGTAACCAACCATTGCATTTGGTTTCCTTGTGAACTTATCCTATATACGCCACTCATGGCTGTGTGCATTGCAAGCTGTAGACGCGGGGTTCTTTATTCCATTATCTAAAAAAAATCTATACACTCCAAAAAAGACAATTGGTACAATACAGCCAGCTCCCAACTATTGTCTCTTTTAAATATGCTATTTTAGGTTTGCTCTAATAAGGACAGCGTGGTTATTTGCGAGATGTATAACTTTACACATGTAAGCTGACAACCCTGTATGATTGTTTATTGTGCAGCTTGTCGTTCTTATGTTTCATATTTCATATAGAGTTCTGATAGGTTCAACTTTTTACAGGAGAAGCTCACGGAGAAATTTGGAACCCCTCTGCAATGTCAACGCCTGTGGTGGTGGGCTAGACGTCAGAACAACACATACCGTGTTGACAGGCCGTTGACAACCGAAGAGGAGAATCTACCTGTCAGTAAAACATTGTGATCACCTTATTTTCTGTTGGTTCTTAATACTGTTTTGTCCCATGCAGTAAAAAATGCTCTTTCATTTGAACCTAAACAGTTATGTGCTGAGTAAGAAATTAGAGAATGAAGGGTTCCCTTCAAGCCTGTGCATGTCTGATCGGTCAGACTGAAGTATTATAAACTACAAATAGATCCATTACCTCATTTTTCTAGAGGTTTCACATGATTTTTTCCCTTCCATTATTGGCTTCATTCTGCACCATAATTTTGAATTATGAATCCTGCTTACTTAGATTGCAGATGCATTTTGTTTAGTGCTGGTAAGTGTCAAAGGCTAGTTTGCAGTCATTCTGCACTTGCCATGTCATCTTCCTCAAAAGTGTGCTGAAGAGAAGATGAAGTTTCGAAAGCAAAATGTGACTATCAATTTGTTGCTTTTTTAAGCATACCTGCTTGGGTATATCGACTTTCAGCAGCTTGTTATATATCTTTAATCTAAAGTCTTCTGTGTGGAGTAAGAAATCAAAATGAAGGGTTTCCTTCAAGCCTGTGCATAGCTGACAGGTCAGTCTGAACCAACACCAACTAATAGATCTAGCCCCTCATTTTCTGTAGATGGTAACTTCTCATGAATGTTGTCCTGCCATAATTAACTTACTTGGCACCATAATTTTGAATTTTGAATTCTGCTCACAATATGATGGGTACCTAGTGTCGAGTACCCTAATCTCACCCTCTCTTTCACAGTACCAACAATAGTCAATACGTTAACTCTCTGAATCATCTACAAGACTTAATATGGCATTCAGCCCAACTATGATTAGGCATGCCGGCAAATTAACTGGATTCCACCTCTACATAGTATGGTTCTTAGGCCATGCACTCGACATGGACTCAAACATGAAAAAAGAAATATAATTCAAACTTCAATTAAACACCTCTAGAAAAAATAAAATAGCTCGGCTCTTTGGCTAATCGCATTTGCTAATACATTACTGCTACTATAGACCATCGACTCAATTAAAACTAAAGGAAAAATGTGACTCTAAAATTGGTTCAGTAACTCACTTCCATGAATGGCGCATTAATAAAGCAGCAACTACAGTTGGTTTGTTCGCTTCTTATTTCACAAAGACATGCAAGAAACCATCAGGGATTATTATAGGAGCCTTGTACACATCTCCATCCATTGCAGATGTTGTCTGTTTAGTGCTGCCAAGTGCCAAATGTTAGCTCCCAGACCCCAGTCATTCTGCACTTTCCTTGTGATTCCCTTAAAAGGCGCGCTAAGGAGTGGATGTAGTTTTCAAAAGCAAAAAAAAATTCTTTTAATTGATTGCTTTTTTAAGGCATACCTGCATTGGTATATTCACTTTCAGCAGCATGGTATATTACTATATTTGTAGGCGTACCATCTTGATCAGATAGCATCCTATTAAATTTTGAATGAAATATGGTATGTGCCGTTATTACCCTTATATTTCTTTCCATTTATTTTATAGCTATGCATGCCCTTTCTGTGTAGGAAGTATGCTGTATTTTGATCTACTGAGTTCATACAGAGAGATATATACTCTTTGGTTTAGTGAAAATTAAAGTTATGAATGCACACTCTTGTAGGTAGAAAGTCTAATTTCAGCATTGTGTTTCGAAGGAGATCATCTACAGCTTTTTCTGGAGGTTAAGCTTGAACTTTAGATAATATATTTTAGAGTAAATTTCATTCAATCCTAGGTATTGTTGTCTAAGTTGCACAAAACCATATGGGTTTTAGCACGTGGCACTTAACCCCAAGTATTATGGCTATAAAGTTTCACAAAACCACATTATTTATCATCCACACTTTTGAGTTCTACAATCACATCTCAAATTTATGAGCTCTTTATCCATCATATAAATATTACACGCATCTAAGTAATTTTTTAATTCTTTTTGATATAAGAGTATGTAAAATTGGTTACCACTATGGTTTTTGTGAAACTTTAGGACCATAATACCTAGGGTTATGTGTCATGTGCCAAAATTTCTGTGGTTTTGTGCAACTTGGACCATAATAGGTGGTTTTATGAAATTTACTCTATATTTTATTGTTTATTTGGGGGGAAAGGACCCTTCTGGTTTCATCCATTGATTTGTCATTCTGTCAAAGTCTCAGAATATTGTCACATTTTAGGTGCTCAACACTAATTCCCTACCAACATGGAGCAACATGGATGATGCACTGGTGTTTCTAAAGCATTATGACCCAGGGAAAGCACAGCTAAGGTCAACTTCTTTGCTGCATTTTTTTGTCTTATTTATCAGTTGATAAGGCTGACTAAAATTTGTTTCTTTGAATGAGAAATTAGGTATGTTGGATTGCTGTCCGTGAAAGTTGCATCGAGGCCTTCAGAAATTCTTCCAAAACTAAGAAGTCTAGCTGGTTTCTGTTTAAGCGAAATGATAGAATTGTACGAGGTCAGACTTTCTTTTTTTTTTTTTGCCGGGCCAGCCAAGAAAGGCCAACCAAATTTACTTAAGATTGAAGAATATATACAAATATACAAAGTTATTACTTCAACAAGAAGCTGTCGAAGTAATGGAAATTGTCACCGGAGCAACTTCCCAAAAGCCAAAGATTACACTAAGAGACTACTCTCCTATATTTCTGAAAACCCCAGCTTCCTTCCAAATCGCCACTTCCTCTTTGATTGAACCAAACAGGAAACCGGCTGAGCGCCGCTGGTTCTGAAACACACGCGCATTTCTTTCCTTCCAAACCATCCAACAAACAAGCAGCACAAGGCTGTCAATGGCGTCCCTGTAGTTGTTCCGAAAATTTTGCCGCATCGCTAACCACCATTCGCCCAAGTCCAAGCCTGACTCAGATGGCAGCAGGAAGCCAACCCCAATCCAGCCCTTGATCATTCTCCACACCCTGGTCGTGTAGGTGCAAGACACAAATAGGTGTTCACAATCTTCATCACCCACCAAGCAAAGTTGGCAAACCTGCTGGTGCGGCCAGCCACGCTTACTTAGATTATCCGCCGTGAGGCATCGCCCTTTTTCGGCCAACCACATAAAGAATTTCACCTTTGACAGCGCTCTTGTTTGCCAAATCAGAGTACCACATCGCGCCACCGTGTTTGCCATGAAGAACATGCTGTAGGCCGAGCAGGGAGTGTATTTTCCATTTGGTGCCCACTTCCAGATTGTCTCATCTTCCTCCCCATCTTGAAGTTGCACCCCCTGGACCGCGTCCCAAATCTGAAAGTATTCCCCAATTGCGTGATTGGAGGGTACCCCCTTGATGTCTCGTACCCACCTGTGGTTCAGAAGCCCTCGTGCCACCGTCAAGCCCGAGCGCTCGACATGGCTGAAGATCAAGGGGAATCTCGACTTTATGCTCCCCACCGGCAACCAGTCCGCCAGCCAAAATTTGGTGTTCTTCCCATCACCCAACACTTGTCTCGTTCATGCGAGGTAGAGGTCTTGCAAGTCTTTCGACTGATCTATTGGAACCGTGAGGTCAGACTTTCTACTGATGCAAACCGGGTTCTCCAATTCTCGAATGAACAGTTTTATCTCATCTGTACTGGTTTTGCACTTCAACAAGCAGGAAATAAAATTTGAACCTTCAGTGTGGTGTGAAGCCATTGACATTCATAATACCTTTTCAGCTGGCGAGGTTTGTTTCTCTTTTGTACACTCCCGTTCTTCCGTAAAATTGTAATTTCATCTCTTTCTTTCTGCAGATTATAACTGGGGACATTATTTGCTTCCAAAAAATCTTGAAGCCACCGGACATACCAAAATATCCTTCTGTTGCATCTTTTCTCCAGCATGTTTGTGATCGGAAGGTAGTTCTACGTTGCTCTCTTCTTCCCTGCTGTAGGTTTTTTTTAACAGGAACTTTACTGTATTTTCAGTAAATATTTTTTCATATTGTTCTTCCTTGTATGCTTTCATGGCTTTTGATCATCCATAAAAGTATCTTGATGGTGTGGCTATAAGTTCAAAGTTGAGTTCAGCTGATTTTTTGTATTGATCTTTTACATTTAACCAATTATATATTCCTTATTTAATTAGACGTATGAAGAAGTGAGGAAGGTACACATTTTAGAAGAGGAGATTGTTACATTAAAACACCAGGCTGATACATATCTTGTTCAGAAAGAAAAGGCCGTAACAGGTATATCAGCAAGACTGTCAGTTTTTGTCTTGTTATGAGTTAAAAGATAGATTAACGGCAACAATATTTAAACCCCGTCTTTGTAATGAAGCGTATGATCAGTTGAAACATGAACGAGACAATGCTGTGCAACAAGTGAATGAATTACGCGACCAGAGCACACATATCATTCTCGATTTCTCCCGCAAGGACATGGAGCAAGCAACAGAACATTTCAAAAATGCTAGGGAGGTTGGTGATACTGAATATGGGCACACATATAAAGGCATGATACACAATATGAAGGTGTTAATCAAGCTGTCCAGTTCCCAAAAGTTATTTCAACAAGAGGTAACCTGGTCCACTTGTGATACTCTGTGTTGGTTGATTCCATTAGTAATATGAGATTATTGCAGGTCTCTATTCTTCGCCAATGGAGACATCCAAATATTATCACATTCATAGGAGTATGCTCGGAGGTCTCCGCTCTAGTATATGAATGGCTACCTAATGGAAATCTTGAAGACCGCATTATTTGCACAAATAATTCTGCACCTCTCTCTTGGTACAACCGCACACAGATCATTGGGGAGATTTGTTGTGCTCTGCTTTTCCTTCATTCGAACAAGTCTACTGCTTTGGTCCATGGTGATCTCAGGCCTTGCAACATCCTCATTGATGCCAACTACAGAAGCAAGATCTGCAACTTTGGTATGTCCAACCTGTTTCTGCAGCTTGGGACCTTCCCACCAAACCTGACGGCAAGGCTGCCGTACATGGACCCTGAGTTCAACACCACCGGAGAGCTCACAACACTCTCTGATGTCTACTCACTGGGTGTTATCATCCTACGGCTCTTGACCGGAATGCCCCCCTTAACTCTATCAGAGAAAGTTGCAGAAGCATTGGGGAGTGATAGCTTGCACTTGCTGATAGATAAATCTGCAGGGGACTGGCCTTACATTGAAGCCAAACAATTAGCACTCATTGGCCTTAGCTGCACTGGAATGACGAGGAAGAAACGGCCTGATCTCTTAAACGAGGTGTGGATAGTTATTGAGCCCCTCACGAGGAAGCCTCCTGCAGCCACCTGGCCATACTTGCAATCAGCATCAGGAGATAGCAGTGTACCTGCTGCTTTTATTTGTCCAATTAGCATGGTAAATAAATCTGTAATCATTATTTTTGCAGCTTCAATTCTGGATAAATGCTCCTAATTCTCCTTTAACTGCTGAATATCCTTTTTCTATTTTTTCTTGAAATCTTCAGAAACCAAAACTTTTACAGTGCATATGTGATATGTTTCTCTCCTGCTAATATTTCAGGAGATCATGAAAGATCCGCAAGTGGCATCTGATGGATTCACCTATGAAGCGGAGGCCATAAGGTGCTGGTTTGATAGAGGGATTAGTAGGTCTCCGATGACGAATTTGGCCCTTCCCAATCTCAATCTCGTCCCTAATCGTGTCCTCCGTTCTTTCATCCATGGGTATCTTCAGCAGCAGCAGCCGAACCCTGCTTACCAACAGCAGTTGTCAGAAACCTAGTTTCTGGAGTGTATTTTTTCTTTTGTAAGTAACAGCAAGAGGGCTGTCGTTATTTCAGATAAGTAGGCAGTAACAGTGAAGTACAAAATGGCAAGAACAACAAATACAGGGGGAACTTTACTAGACAAATGCTCAAATAGGGTCGGGCTGTCGTAATTTCAGTTAATGGAGAGGAGGAAAAGGAAGATGGGTGTAATTTTGGACATTTCATCTGATGGTGTGGCAAATGAGCAAATTGGACCATCAACTTTCTGGCATTTTAGCAAAGCAACCAACTTCGTGGCATTTGAGAGAATGCCACATGAGCATTTTTTTTCCCTCGTTCCATGCAGTATTGTCTGGCTCTCGGTGTTTGTTTATGTGCTCCATGTCCTTTCCTCGTCACAACTAATATGCTGACAATTTCACCAAAGGTCTTCCCTAAACCTTGTTAAACGACTAAAGGTCTTCCCTAAACCTTGTTAAACGATTTTGATTTTCGCTCTAGTCTCAACATCCGCAGACCTCCCGGTTGAAATAGCAGAGGCCCAACGTGCGTTCTGTTGCTTATCCAGTATAAGTTGTTAGTAGAAATTGGGAAAGTACTACACTGGTTGCTTCATATCCCTGTGAATGAAAAAAAATGCTACTATAAATTTTAAGTGTTACAAATGTCACTAAAAATCGTGTTTTGTGATATGCTAAATAAGTCAGTGTTGTAAAATACCGTCACACAATATTTGGAGTACACTGATATACTCCTTCCATCCCATAAAAAATCAACCTATTACTAAATGTGACATATCCTAGTACTACGAATCTGAACATATCTCTGTTCAGATTCGTTTACTATAATGTGTCACATGTAAACCTAAATTCGTTTTTTTAGGATGGAGGGATTATGTAGCTGGGATTGGGAATTCGAGAAGGATAATGTTTTATTTAAAAGTCCAAAGTAATGGTAATGATGTGCCTAAAAATATTCGGCACGCGTTATGGTGCAAATAGTCATGAAAATTCTAGGATAAAAAACTTAATGACCCTGCATATGTTGAAAATATGGTCATAATTCGACATATTTTAATCCAAAATATTAAGATAATAAACATGACATACACAATAAGAAGCGATCTAGTGAAGATGCTAAACATAAACATGCTAAACATAAACATGAGCATGCTTTTGATAACATAAGCATAAACATAATCGATATTCACATAGGATTGTAATCCTATGGATAATATTGTGAACACATAAATAAAAAGAAGAAAATCAAGTAAAGTTAAAATCTTATACCCAGAAGATGTTGAGGCATTCGTATTGCCCCCGTTCATGTTGTCTCCTTCGTTCCCGTTCTCTCCAGTAGAAGCCATGGTGAAGCAGAAGTAGAGGAAGCAGCGTTGTCGTAGAAGAACAGGAGCAGTCGCGCCGAGACGCTCTCTAAAAACTTGATCGTTCGCAAGTTGAAACTAGTCATGCACTACCCTGTTTCCACAACAAAAGTGAAAACAACCAAGGTTAGCCTGCAAAGGACAGTGATTATACAGAGGTAAAAATAAAGTATTAGTATTGGTAATCTCTATTATAAATCTTCCCCGGTAATGGCGCCAGAAATGCTTGTTGGTATTTCTTAACGATATTACTAGAAATATAATTCCCAGCAATGACGCATAAATACTCTTGGTATATTATGGTTACAGAGTTCATCCGCAAGCGCACGGATATACCATTGTAGCATTTCACCCGAGAGTATTCCAAGGGTATCGTATTTATTTAATCCCGTGGGAAGATCATAGTAGAGAGAACCGTACTAATAATTTATTTGTTAGTTGTAATAATCATAGTCTAAGTCAATAAATCAAAGGGTAGAGTGACACACAAGTAGTAAGCTACTCATTCTCATACTAATACATCTAAGCTAAGTGGAAAGATAACAGAAAGAGAATTTATTCCTAAACTTGAGAGAATATGAGAGAGCTTTGCTTGAAGTGTGTGTGAAATGGAATTAGAGGAGCTTCTTTTATAGCTTTGAGTATGACGGTTATGATGGTTGGAAAGGTCGGTAATACCCTCCAACCGTCATTAGGGATCAATCCTCAATGATGGTATTAGTATTGGCAAATTGAATAGTGAATTTTCTGACATTTTAACAAAGCAACCAACCTCGTGTCATTTGAGAGAATGCCACACATGAACATTTTTTTCCCTCGTTCCATGCAGTATTGTCTGGCTCTAGGTGGTTGTTCATGTGCTTCATGTCCCTTCCTCGTCACAACTAATATGCTGACAATCTTAGCAAAGGTCTTCCCTAAACATCATTCAATGATTTTCGCCCCGTTGGCATAGCAGGAGGCCCAACGCGTGTTCTGTTGCTTATCCAGTATAAATTGTTAGAAACTGGGAAAGTACTGCACTGGTTGCTTCATATCCCTGTGAATGAAAAAAAATGCTATAAATTTTAAGTGTTGCAAATATCACTAAACACCACGTTTTCTGATATGTTAAATAAGTCAGTGTTGTAAAATAGCGTCACACAATATTTGGAGTACAGTGATATGCAGATATATGCTACAAATATTTTTTAAGCCGGACCAGCAAAAACCGGCCGAGATGTATATTAAGAAGAAGAGAAGTTTTTACAAAATACCATCTACCAAGAACGGTAGAGGCAACAACCAACCAACCGCCGTAGGGAGAGCCTAAAATGGACTAGTCTATCTAACCACAATCAATGGCGCACAACAAACCCGTGGCCTTCCATGCTTCCCACTCATCAGCGATGGTCGCACACAGATGCATCGCTGAAGTGGCCTTTCCATCAAACACCCACGCATTACGTTCCTTCCAAATTAACCACACCACCAGGATAACTCCCGCATCGAATGTCTTCCAATCCGTCTTGTGAACCGATTTACGTGCCACGCACCACCAACTCAGCATGTCGCTAGAAGGAGAATCACAGGAAATGCCAAGGCAACTTCTGACCTGCGCCCATACCGACTTCGTGTAATCACAGGAGTGGAAGATGTGGGCGCAGGGTTCCGCATCATTCCCGCAGAGGTGACAGAACGAGGCGAGATGCCAGCCCCGCCGCTGGAGGTTGTCCGTCGTCAAGCAAGCCCATCGCATGGCGAGGAACATGAAGAATTTGCAGCGGGTCAGTGCGCGGGACTTCAAGATCAATCTGCCGACCGCCGACCACGTCTTCCCGGCGCAGAGGAGGGAGTAGGCCGTTTTCACCGAGAAAACACCATCCGTAGCAGGCTTCCAACAGAATACGTCTGACTGAGCAGGGTTCAGGGTGACAGCGGTGATCAGGTCCTAGACTTGGAGATATTCCATCATAGCTTGGAGCGATAACCCCCCCTGATGTCGCCGTTCCAGGCATCCTCTTGCAGTGCCGAGTGAACTGTCCTTCCCCTGATTTTGACGTAAGAACATAAAATTGGCGCCCAGTTCAGAATAGAACCTCCATCCGGGAGCTAGTTGTCTGTCCAGAAGAAGATGTTGTTCCCGTCCCCCAACACCATCTTGCAACCCGCAGCAAGGAAATGCTCGGCTTTCTTGTCTTGAGCCGGCGCGAAGGACGCCCACAGCCACTCCGGTTGGGAACACTGCAACCAAAGCCAACGTGTTCACATTGCAATGCCCATTCTGCCAAGATTGACAATGCCCAGACCGCCATTCTCAATTGGCAAGAAGAGTTTTTCCTAAGCAACAAGGCTGCATCCCCCCCCGCGACGCATCCTCATCCTCTTTCCACAAAAAAGCCGCAACATTTTTTCTCTATTGCCTTAACCGCCCACACCTGTAATTCCAAAACCGATAAAAGATAGAGTGGGATAGCCATCAGAACATGTTTGATCAGAGCGAGCCGAGCGTCCGGTGAGAGCAGGCATGATTTCCAGCCTGCTAGATTCTTCGCCATCCTATCCAACATAAGCAGCAGCTGGGCCTTTGACAGCTTACGAGTAGACATGGGGAGCCCTAGATAGGTGATGGGGAGGTCCTTAACCAGACATCCAAGCACCTCTATTACCTCCAAGATTTTAGTCTCGGAACAATTGATTGGCGTAAAGGAGTTCTTGGCGAGGTTGGAAATGAGGCCCGTTGCCTCGCCCATGAGCTTAAGAATGAATTGGATCACTTCGACATCCTGCCTGGAGGGATGGAGGATGATAATAGCATCATCCGCATACAAGGACGCCCGTAGCGGAATCTGGGCGCTGGCTAGAGGAGAGAGGGTGTTCTTGGTAACAACAGTGTTGCACAATGCCGCGAAAGTGTCCATCACCAGGACAAAACAGGAGTGGCGAAAGAGGATCACCCTTCCATTGATGGAAACGACCATGGACACGGTAGCCAAGAGAGATGCGACACAGTCCTGCCAATGGTTGCCGAAACCCAGAAATTGCATCAGCTCAAGAAGGAAATCCCAGCAGACTATATCAAACGCTTTGGCAATGTCAATCTTCAACAACATAGCTGGCTTTTTGGTACGGTGCAAAAGCTTGACTGCTCCTTGGACATAAAGAAAGTTCTCATGGATTCTTCTTTTCCGGATAAATGCCGTCTGAGATTGCCTGATGATCTCATCCATTCTAGCAGATAGCCTAGAGGCCATGATCTTCGTGAGGATTTTGAGTTTTTGACAAAGCTATGGATAAGGCTGATCGGTCTATACTCCCCAAAATGAGTCGGCTCTTCCTTCTTTGGCAGCAGCACAATGGAGGCCATGTTCAAGAGGTGGAGATGACGTGCATTCACTCTCCAAGTAAGTTTCATGGCGGCAACCACATCATCCTTGATCACCTCCCAACATCTCTTGAAAAAACCCCGCTAAAACCATCGGGTCCTAGAGCTTTCTCACTCGGCATAGCAAAATTGATCTGTCTAGCCTCCTCTGAGATGTCTGTTTCAAGTTCCAACAGGTCAAAAGCATGCATGCCGGCCTGCGCGAAGTCGATTGCTGCTGACCTCTGAGTAGGCGAGCCCATGATGCCGAAGAAGAAATCATGGGTGACTTCAAGCATGTCCTCCTCAGTTGTAGCCTAGAAACCCTAGTGAAAAAGCGAGGCGATCGCCTTCTTACACCTGCGTGCATTAATTTTTAGTTGATGGAATTGGGCGGATGTCCCGCTATACCTCAAGAATAATAGGCGTGAGCGTTTCCTTAGCCGAATCCGCTCGAGCGATGCCAGGGCAAGGCAACGCCCCTTCAGAGTAGCCCGCAATGCCCTCTCCTCGCCCATGAGCAGCCTATCATCTTGCGCCTTGTCGAGCTGGAAGATAATTTCATAGGCCACCACCAACTGGAGACGTAGCTTGCTGATTCGACGTTCCCCC